AGAGTGGCTGGAGAGTGGCCCAGCAGAGGGACCTGGCAGTACTTGTTGACAATCGATTGAACATGAGCCAGCAGTGTGCCCAGGTGGCCCAGAAGGCCAATGGCATCCTGGCCTGTATCAGGAATAGTGTGGCCAGCAGGACTAGGAGTGTAATTCTCCCTTTGTACTCAGCACTGGTGAGGCCTCACTTCGAGTACTGTGTGTACAGTTCTGGGCACCTCACTTCAAGAAGGATGTTGAGGTGCTGGAGCAGGTCCAGAGGAGAGCAACGAGGCTGGTGAAGGGACTAGAGGGAAAGTTTTATAATGAGAGGCTAAGGGAACTGGCATTGTTTAGCCTGGAGAAGAGGAGACTCAGAGGGGACCTTATCACTCTCTATGACTACCTGAAGGGAGGTTGTAGTCAGGTGGGGGTAGGGCTCTTCTCCCAGGAAACTAGTGACAAGACGGGAGGGCATAGCCCGAAGCTACGCCAGGGGAGATTTAGGCTGGATATTAGAAAGCACTTTTTCATGAAGAGGGTGATCAGGCATTGGAATGGACTGCCCAGGGAGGTGGTGGAGTCACCATCTCTGGAGGTGTTTAAGGAAAGGCTGGATGTGGTAGTTAGTGCCATGGTCTTGCTGATGTGGTAGTGTTAGGTCATAGGCTGAATTTGATGATCTCAGAGGTCTTTTCCAGCCTCAATAATTCTGTGATTCTGTGATTCCTCATCAGTAATTTATTTCAGTCCTTGCGTAACACATTCTGTTTACATGCCAAAGTTTTTCCATGTTAAAGTACTGGTATCTTTAAAGCAGAACAGTCCTCCTGGTTAGGTTCATATAAACACAAGCTGTGCCTTTGTATTTTTTATTTTATGGGGGTGAGATGAACTATGAAAGTGTAAAATGTTTAAGCAAACACAATTGGCAATTAAGCAAATTAAACAGATTGTACCTCTGCAGTGGTACCTCAGAATAAAAGTATACTTTGTTACTATGATACATGAGTACAAAATCAGAGCCTGCAAACTGGCTAACTTTATTTTTAGTGAAAACTGAAGGAAATATAAGTATCTCTTCATGTTCTTTTGCCAGTCCTTTGTGCTCTGTCAGGGTAAGATTGACACTGTGTTTTTGGAAACACTAGTGATTAATACTGGATAATACTGGATTTTTAAGTTATTGTGATTTTGCAAACTTGGTATAAGGATGTGTCTAACAAATCCCAAGCATCGGTTCTAGTGTAACTTAGGCTACAACATTCCCTTTATCACAGTGTTTTGAGAAATATGTGCCTTTGATTCATGTTTTAACATTCAGTTGCTCTTTCTTAAGCTGGGTTCAGGGATTCTCGAACAAGAACTTTTGCTTTATCAACAATCGAACTGTCTGCTACCCTTGTGGCAATTACATCCTCTTCCTGGACATTGAAACAAAGAAAACGACAGTGCTGCAGTGTCAGACGGGCCAGATGGGAGCCTTTGCAGCGCATGGGAACAGTCACGTGCTGGCCTTTTCCGACCAGAAGCTGAATCCCGTCATATATATCTACAATTTTCCAGAACTGAGTAAACTGACAGAATTAAAAGGTAGTGATGTGGTCACCATTTCATTAAAACAATACTTAAATCATCCCATTTCTTGAGGTTTTTTTTTTTATAAGACCCAAAAACCAGTGCAAACTGTCTCATGACAAGATGTGTGGAAAGCAGTGGAAAGAACTACTTTTAGTTAGGCTCAAGCTAGGGAGGAATATAAAAATACCAATTGGAACTGCTACAAAGGGAAAAAATGGAATTAATTTTAGGAAAATATAGTAAGAATAACAAAAAAAAATCCTACTGCAGTAGGCTGCCAAGCAAATTGCTGAAAGCCACATTGAGAAATCTGAGATACGAGAAGAATGAGGGTTCTTGCAGTTAAACTTTGGAGTCTGAAATCTAATGTATATTTTTGCCTGCTCCGTAGCACTTCTCTCCTTAGTTAAGTTGCTTACCCTACCCACAATTTAAAGAAGGATCATACTGCTTGCTTATTTTATGTATATGAATGAAATAATGGCTACAAAGGATTTCAGGGTACTTGGAGAAAAATACTTTACAAATGTAGGGTATTACTGAAAAAAATTTTTTTTAATCCAAGCAGTGATAGATAGGGAACATTTTTATGATAAATCAAAACAATAATCTGGAGTGAAGCAAAGAAATCAGGGGCCTGAAGCGGGTCTTTAAAGAGTTAAGGAGTTATAAATGTGATAGTGTCCAGTAAAGTCCAGGGCAATTAAAGACCATGTTCTTTATTTTTACATTTCAGGTAATGCTCAACTGGACTACACCTTACTTGCCTTTAGTTTCACAGGCCCATATCTAGCCAGTTACTCTTCAATCCCAGAATTTGTTCTTTCAGTATGGTAAGAGTAAAAAAATATTCTAATACCATTTACATTTAATTCGTATTTTGATGTGTGTGCTGTTTTAGCATAAATGAACAAATATGGAAGACACACTGGTTGCCTTCATCTCCTTTTTTTGTTCTAATTGATCAACATCTGGAAACTTCCTGTAAACGTGCTGTTTATTTTCTAGCATTAGTAGCCACTAGTCAAAATGACTGTTAGTTTGCTTCTGCTGTCTTCTACCTTCTTCAACAATCTGTGTTTTGGAGAACTTTTACAGTCTTCAGCATCAGTTAATTATCTGTTCAGCCTTGGAAGTTGGGTACCATGCTGTTTGTGAAAGAAAGTTGCCTGCTGGAATGAGGAAAAGCATTCTAAAGCAGCTTTCTACTTTTTTGTCTCCCTAGACCATTCAGTGGTCCTCTTAATTATGCTTGATCTTAGTTCTGTCTTATAGTTGTGCTCAGTGATTACACTACATGGATCATCATTTTCATCTCGTTGTCATGAAACTAAATATTCAGTAATACGGTGCTGATACAGAAAGTTAGAATATATAATTTTTTAATTGTTCTATAAAAATATAAACCTGCTCTTGGCTCCATTGCCAGCAAGCTTCATTGGCTGTGGAGTCTGAGCACTTCTTCAAAACAAATGGGGAGGGTGGAGCAGGAGGAAGGCAAGCAAAGACATGTAAGGAATATTCTGTGTACACACAATTTAATGATGACCTTTCTTGTACAGTGATTAGTGAAGAGGGAGAAACTCCTATAACTTCCAAATTATAGTAATGATAGTAGATACTATTACAGATGGCTCTTCTTTATCCTTTATGAAGAAGAATAATGTTTGCTGTGAGTTGTGATCATACACATTTGTTCAGTAATTATGTCTGGGCATATATTACAGTAGAAACCAACAAGATAGTCTCACTGACCAGAAGAGCTTATGTGCTTGTCACTTGAAGCAGTCTAATGTGTACACTTCAACAAAAATCCACCATCTTGAAAGACTTCTCTAGATAATTCTTAAAAATGGAAATATCTGGAAATACTGAAATGCTCTGAAGTAGTGGCAAGTTTCAAGGCCAAACAATTTAAACCTGTTTGAATCAGTGTGAATATGTCTATGAGCAGCTAATTGTCACAAAAGAACCATCCTAGATTCCAGTTATAAAGAATTTAGTAACAAAATAGGATTAAAGAACAATGTTAGATTTAGAATTTTAATAACTTTAACAGAGGTGTGTGAATTCACTGCGAGATCAGAACCTTCATTTTTGCAATTAGATTACACTGTGCATTCATTGTATAAATGTGTGTGTACAGATGAAAGAAATCTCAATGATTAGCATTCTCAGTGCATGATTGCAATATGATGATTACACAGTTCCTGTGTTTTAATCAGATAGTTTGGAATCAGAGGTATAAGATGTTTTGAAGGTTATGTCAGTCTCAAATTATAGAAAGCTTATGGATAACTAAAAGCTGCTTTACATCTGAGATATTTTATCCGTAGATCTTTATTCTTTTCTGTTCAGGGGAGAGACTTAATGCCAGATTATTTTTCAGATACATGTACCATATAGTTTCAGATCTTAATAAATTATCTACAATAAAAGAGTGTTGGCACTATCTGTTAGGTATGAGATGGGAACATGCTGACAGATCTTTAGAGAGAGTGCTACACTGATGTCTTTTAAAGTCAGAATTGCAGCTTATAGCTTTCTGTAATTTTAATGAGAGTTACTGTGTATGTGTGAATACTTCTCAGTTTTTTGCATATGCTGTCAATATTAACCATTATCTTGCATCCTGATCGGTTTCTGCGAGTGAATTCATTACAGGCCAGAACAACAGGATTATACTGGATCCATTTACGGCACTGTATGCATTTTAGGGTTTTTTCCTCTCAGCAATAATGACAAATATTAAAGCTATAAATGTTATTTAGATTAACAGTCATATATATTGTCCAAGAATTTAAGAAACAGTTTTAACTATTTTCTTCAAATTATGTTAATCAGTTCATGGTTAGCACCTAAAAATGCAAATACAGTCAATAACTAAACTGGATAATGGCAAATATGCAAATTGAGTGAGAATATAAAACAGGTTACACTGGACAAAAGAAAAGTCAGTGGAAAGCAGATTCCCAGGCTTGTGTCAGCTATATATAACAGCTCCACACAAATTCTGCCCTGTTTTGTGCTCAGGGTAGTTAATGCAGCTATAGGTTGTGTGTTTGCATTCACAACACAATTAGTATGTTACATAAGTAATTAATCTGTGTTTTGGCTGACTGTGTTATATTTCCTAATTATAATACTTTCTAACTGCAAGCCTGCAGGCATTATAATCATTATTTTACAGACTGGAAAAGACTGAGGTGTGGGGTGCTGAAGGGTTAATAGTTAGGGCCCATTCAAATAGTCACTGATGGAACTGATGAAATAAAATCCATGTCTCTTGACTCTCTTGGTCTTTTTACTAAAGGAAGTGCATTATAATTTTTTCTAAAATGACATTTTTCAAAACTATTTTACTATTCAATCTGTTTGTAGCAGTGCTAATTTTGTATGTGGCTCATTAGCCACCTCCTTTTCATTCTCAAGAGGACCTAACGTTTGACAGCAGAATTTTTTTGTCAGTGACAAAGTATTTTTTCGAATCTTCATCTTGAATGTCAGTCATAATCACATCCAGATCTTTGGCTTGAATGTTTTTGACTTATTTAATGGATTTGATTTTCTTTTACTCTCCTTAATGAAGGAACTGGCAAGAAAATATCCTCCTGTGCAGTGAGTCTCAGCCAGGGGTAACAGTGACCTCTTTAAGTTTTAACCCTATGAATTGGCAACAACTGTGTTTTGTTAATGAGAGCTCCATTACTATCTGGCATATTGAAAGGAATAATGATGAGCATCACCTTAAGCAAAAGTAAGTGGAACACTCTTCAGGTTAAGAAAAAAGTCTAGGAGTGTATTTTAATAACTAAGACTAGCAACCCACATGCGATTGCAAATAATTTATCCAATTTAGTTCACCTAGCAATTACAATCAATAATTGCTAAATCACAACTGGTGTGAATCTAACTAGTCAAACAAGTGAGTGGAATTTATTTCATCTTTTAGCACTCACATGTCCAGATTATGCGCATCATGAAGCTAATACTGCTCAGCCACTCTGGCAGCCTCTATCAAAAGCTGCATGACTGAATTAAGGTAGTGCCTGGACTGCTTTCCTGCAAGTGGCTATGTTGAGCATTGCTTTTGTAGATATGAAACAACCAAATTTGGGTAAAGTTGCTTCCTAGTAAGCATAGTTAAACAATATGTTGTTGTAATCACAAATTGTACCAAAAGCAGTATCAGTTTTCTGTGTGATTTCCAGCTTATGTGGCCAATTTACAGGTCTAGAGGGATGGCTGTGTCAATGCAATTCACTGAGCACAGCAAACCTCAAATTTATTTGTGCTAAAATTATTTTTGAGGCTGATATAAAAGTAATATGTATCATTCAAATTGGAGTCCTTGAAGAACACCACCTATGCTGTTTCAGTGGCATCTGCTCTACAACTCCCAAGTGTGTTTAATCTCATTAACTATGAATATAACCAACATACTGCCATTGACACAGTCATACTAGTGAAAGTATAGACAAGACCTTAATTCACCATCTGAAAAGAATACTGAAGGATTTTTTGCCTTTTGTCATTATAGGGTACATATGTGAAAATACATATATACTCCTTTTTTCTCGCTTTTATTTCCATTCAGTCGAGGTTAAACCCCCACTTTGAATTGTTTATTTTACATAATTTTTTTTCAAGTCATAAATCAACATAGTTTGTAAACTATAGAATCCTCAACTCCTGCATTGTAACAGCCACTCATACACTAGTTTTTAGAGTGTAACAGGCAAATACTACTAATAATTTTTCAAAATTGTTAAACTTTCTCCAAATAAACATTAAGTGTGAAGCCTCACAGAATATGCAAGTTAGGCGTGTGACTTTTTAAATCCTGGTTAATAAGGAAACAGTAACACAGAATAGTTGTTTATATGAGGCCACAAGAAAAGACACTGAGCTAGAACATGGCAATCCATTTCTACCAGGTAGGAACATTCCTCTTTTGTAGTAGAATTACTATTACTTTTCAGTGAAATGGTATGTGCCATGTGGAATGATTGTCTACAACAATCCTCTATTACTCTTGCAGAAGTAAAGCCCATTAACTGAGTTGATGGCTCAAAGTTTTGAAAACATCTTTCTCAGTTTTGTATCAGCATTTACTATTCGTATTTTTTCTCCTCTCACAGTGTCTCTTGCTTTTTCATAGAACTGTGAAACTCCCTAGTCGACGAGGGTCCACATAAAGATTTGTTTTTCCCAGTTTCTCATCATGAAGATCCGTACCATGGCCCTGATTTGCCAGTTTCAGTCATTGCTGGACTGGCAGGAGATGAAGCAGAAACATTCATGGCAGTTACTGACTTTGTTTTCCTTTTTACTGTTCCATGTTATTGTGCTTTTTATGCAAATAGGTATTAATAAATTAATTACAGTACCTGGTAAACAGGTACAAACCAGTAAACAGATCTGTTGTCTCAACAATATTTTTGAAATCCACTTTGACAGGAGACTTACAAGTCATGCTGCTACTGCACAGTGTAGTACAATGTAGAGATTCCTGACACAGGTCCTAGCATAGTAAATCTGTGCAGTGGAGGTACTCTGTATCGCTGAAGCAGTGTAAGCATGTCAGCATTTAACCATGCCCAAGCTAATATGACCTACTCAGACCTTGAAAACTTATTCCCATGCTAAACTGCCAGTAACCTGCAGGTGTCCTTACTTCCCTTTGACATCGTTTTCTTTTTGCCTCTGAAAATGTCTCAAGCTATGGAAACACTAAAGGCTTTGTTCCAGACAGCAACCCCTGCTTCTGAAATGCATTCCCATACCACTGACAGTGTTGGACCTGCCCATCTGTCTCACTTATATTTGATCATTAACTTGTTAGCCTCCCTTGAGATGCCTCTTTTGAGAGGCTTCAAAAGTGTTCTCATTTTGTTTGAAATTTGCTTTCACCTGACTTCCAACTAGAAGCATCTGCCAGTGTGAAAATATTTAACTTGCAAATGTAGGATTCTCTTCTAAGAGTAAGACTATCAATTTCTGTTTGGTGGCTTGTGATATATTTGAGACACCAAAACTACCATGCATGAGATGGTACTGGCATTATACTACATCTTTTCAATGAACAAATGTGAGTTCTGTATTATCAAATTAGTATGCTACAGGTTTATGCCATAAACTTTTCTTTTCTTTTTTTCAGAATTAAAAAAATAGGAAATTATGCTTTCCTGACCTCATCCGCTTTTCGTGGCTTCATGCATTTAGATTCGCAGAGGATTTTAACTGTGTAACTGCTGGTGCCCTTGGTTTCCAGGATAGTCAATAACTACAAAAAATACCCTGTACTGATGCTGATTACGCATGAACTGCTTATATTTCAGATCACTTAGAACGTGGAAAATGAAGATAATGTGTGCTCATCAGGGACATTGCCTTTTTCTCCTGCCTTACTGCCTCTTATGTGCAGATGATGAACTGCAAAAAACACTTTGTTCTTTAGCCTGTAAAGTGAATTACGAAAGGTATTGGGGGAAAAAAACAGCTGCCATATTAGGCTTGTGAGGCTTAATAGAATTTATCATTGAATGGATGCTATTCCATTAAGGAATGGTAGGTTCTTGTGCTTGAACTTGGAGAACCATATCGTGAAGATTTCCACACAGAAAAGTTTGTGCTTTCAACCGTACTAGGTACCATTATAGGGTCTTTGCATTCCCAACTGTTTTCAGAAAAAACCTAGACTTCTTTTTAGCAGCTTCAAGGTAATTATGTTCTCCATATACATATTCCTGGAATAAGAGCAGGTTGTTCTACTATTCTTTGATAAAGATTTTCTTTTCTTTCGAATTACATGGTGAATATTTTTATAGTTATTTACTGTCCAAATTCCCTAGATGAGTGTATTTTGATTGTGAATATTGACAGGGTAATGAACATCAGCTGGTTTTGTTCCTTTTGTTTTTGTGGTGGTATGTTGTTTCCTGTGTACTAAATAGTGAGGTGCTACACTCACAGGTTATCACTGGAAGGCACTGAATCAATTTCTGCCATGTTTTCACCTTTCTCCAGACTATGATAGCTGGTAATTTTTTTCCAGGATTTGCATTTATTGTGCCTCACAGCGCTAATTCTCCCCTCCACCCATGCCTCTGTACATGTGCTGCATCTCTAACCTAGCAGAAAAGCTGAGCCGCTGCTAGATCTTGTAACTGCCCACACTGGGTGGAAACAGTGTGCATATGTCTTGTCAGATTAAGGATCCTCTTCCACCACCCCAAAGTGGAACACATAGCTTTGGCAAAGTAATGCCTGCACAAGTTGATCAGAATATACTTGATGGAGAAGATGCTTCTTTGGAATACTGTTTTATCAAGATCCTTATGTTGAAAAGTGTCTAATGCAGCAACTTTGAGAGAGATTGAAATGACTGAACTTGCCAAGATCCTCAGATATCAAGATATCTTCAGACTACAGTTGCTGTAAAAGACCAAGCTGTCCAAAATAGAGGTGCGATAACTACCGCTGTCTGTATAAATTGACAGGCTGCCTTGGCACATGTGTCAGTGGTTGCTGTCACTGATGATTTGTATACTATTACAAAAGTCCATGAGCAGTTATCTGACTCTGGCCTAAATCTGTGCTTCAACATTTGTAAATACCTTGGAGATACTTTCCTCTCTGCTATGGTCAATGCTTTTTTAATTAGTAAGAGACAACCTACTTCTCTTATGATGGCTTATGAGGTGCATTCAGTTGAATGTGGTGGGAACAGTATCACAGCCTGATGAAGCTCTCTCTATCTCTGCAGAATTCAACAAGATTTTTATTCTTCATTACTAAATCTGAGTCAGTTGAGATGAAAGTTTTTCACATTTATTAAGCATGCAAAGTGAAGAACCATTTATTTAGACCGTTATTTAAAGGATTTTTCACTCAGCCATGGTCCTTGGAGGCTGTAGCCCACTCGCAGGGAATGTGAGAGGCAAGTAAGATAAGAAAGCCCATTGCCGGTGCTCTTGTTTGCTGCTTTAAAATGTGTTAGGGTTCCGTACCCCACAAGGTACTGAGAGTGGGTATGTACAAAAGCGTAACCACAGCGGGGCAGCAGAGTGAAAGGAATTGAAATATCCTACAGCTTTCAATCCTTTTCTCTCTTACATTGGCTTGATTTAGTTTTGTTTCAATATTTCTTACATTTGGGACCTGAGTTGCCTGAATATGCTTTACCATGACAGGACTGCTTGACTCCACTCTGTCTGCTGTACCAATTTCATTCTATTGGCTTTTTATAAAACTTTTAATTGTAAAGGTACATCATGGATTTTTTTTTTGGTCTCAAGAGGTGCTACTCGAAAGAGAAAATTGTTAAAAATAGACAATATGATGATGATGATGCACCACCACAACAATGCACAGTTCAAGAAGCAAACGGGTTTGGGATTTGTACAATCTTGTCCCAGTATTAGCATATTTTACCTAGTTTATATGTAAAGACAGTCATGACAGCGGGTACAAAGGAACATCACAGAAGTTGTCTTTACACAGGAAACTTCTGATTCACAGTAGTTCAGTTACAACCTTCCCAAAGATTTATGATGTTCAAGCCTCATAAAATCAGTGAAATGCCTATATTAAATGTTTCTCTGGGTGATGCAAAGCCCCATTTGTTATAAATTTGTTAGTCCTATTTGATTTATAAAGTAAATATTAATATACTTTATTTCTGTAACATTTTCCCCTGAGAAATGCAAAATGCTTTCTAAGCATAAATAGAGAGGAAGTTACTTACCCAGAATCATATAGCAAGTCCTTGGCATATTTTACTGATGAAATGTAGGTACTTACGAATCTCTGTCCTATGTTTTCATCACAAGTCCATCCATATTTCCTCTTTTTAGAGAACCTTTAGTGAGACAGCAGGTGTTTTATAGAATTATAGACTCTTCTTTTTTTTCATCCATCATGTTGTCTAGTGTTACTCACCATCTCTGCTCACATGCATGGTTCTTTGAATTGTCTCTTTTAGCTATTCTCCCAAGGTTTTCTTATGTTTTGTTTCCCTTCCCCTCTCCCTGAAAATCTGGTTCTTTCTATCATGGTGTTTATATGACCTCTATTACTGTTGTATCTGAACAGGTCAATGTCTTTAATTATATTTGATGGAGAAGCTCTGTTCCTGCTGTTTTACGGATGAAGGATTTATGAGATTTATTTTAGCGAAATGAAATTCAAGGCATATGGGAAGTCTGTGGTAGGGATATTTCTAGAACTAATTTGCAGATGACACAAAGGCTGACAGAGCTGTTTTACAGAGCAATTTGGATTATATGATAAGATAAACTATTCAAACAAAATGAGTTTTAATACTGCCAAGTATGCAGACCACATATACCGGTTATACGTACAAGGTGGAAGACTATACTGAAAAGCAGTTTGAAATGCATTTGTCGAGATGTTCTCATAGTGAGTAACCATTTCAGTTTGGACTTCCAGTGCTATTCTGAAGTTAAAAAAATTAATCTATAGACTGAATGTGTTGAATTTTATCATAATTATATCGTTAAAAAAATGGGACTTGACCTGGTTATGGTGGGTCAATATCTTTGCGAGGATAGAGAATATACTGGAGGGATTTCCAAGCTAGAGAACAAAACTGTAACAGATGCAACTGCTGGAGAATGAATCCAGATAAATTTAAATTTAAAAATATATAATTTTAAAATGAAAATGTAATTCATCATTTAAACAAGCTTCTAGGGAGAGAGGTGAGTTCTCCACTACTATCTCCAGTCATAGACTTTTCTTGAAAATTTTCTTGTTTCTCAAGTTACCAGCCTCAGTGAAGGGATGACTGAGTAAAATGAGGCTGACGTTATACGAGTGGTCAGACTCTATGAAGTAATGATCTTTTTGCCTTTAAGTGTATGTAACTGCTTGTACAGATATTTGTCAACTGTTGATTGAACTTGTCTATATTTCTGCTGAAGCTTAGGAATTATATTAAGCCTTCACTGCAACCTACTGCCCACTGCTGGACTGCAAACTCAGTAATTTACATGAGCTGTAAAGAAGGATATGTTTTGGCAATTGATGCTGAGAAAGGCAGTATTTCTGTTCTTCAACAAAAACCTCTACCTGGTAAGAAATAGCTGCATTGTGTGTTTTATTTGGATAGAGAGAAAAGTGGATAGGTTAAAACTTTTTTTGCTTTCTTCTGTTCTCCTATTGCCTAGCTTACAGAAGTTGTAAAGATATATTGTAGGGCTGTATTTCTTTTATTAGTATGATAAACATTTGAGAATGTCTTTTGAACTTCTGTGTGTGTTTCTTTAGCACCCAATAATTTGCTTTTGTTTTTCTTTGGGGAAAAAAAAAGATAAAATGCTCTAAATACATCAAAACCGATAAAATTAATAATAGTTCCAGTAGCCCAGATCTTATTAAGCAGCCCTACTAAATTTACATTAAACTATTAATATACCAACTATACACAGTCTTTTTACTATTAGTTAAGTACCAATAATTGATTTGATTTTGCATAAAGGATTGCCCTCATTTGGTACTTGGGCATTTTTTTCAGACTGGCTGACATTTCCTTTGTAAGTAAATAAAATTAAAAATTGTGGTTAGAGAAAACAATACCAGCACTTAGCATTAGAAGACAGATAAATCTGCTTCTGTACTACTCTCCATGGCAAGTATTGCTACTTCCCTTTTACAGCTGTAAGCTAAATCACATAACGACTGTGCCCGCTCAGTTGCATAAATGACAAAAATGGCAGATATTGAGGAAGAATATTGGAGTCAGTATGCTGAACCTGGCCTTTTTGTTCAGTAGACTGGAATATAACTGATTTTTATTGCAATATTGATGTATAAACAAGGTTGACCTTATTAATTGCTTTCTTTTGTGCAGAACACATGCGTAAAATATTGGAAGTGGTGTCATACATTCATAAACAAGTACAGAAAAAGAAAGGTATTTCCATGTTCAAATCAAGCTAATAGATTTTTAGGCAGCATCAGTGATGTCTGGCGATAATAATATGTGAGTACAGCTGGAAGCCACTGTTTAGAAAAACTCAGCTCGCACTGGCCTCTCTGAGACACATTGATGGCAACCTTTTATATGTTTACATGACAAATGATTAATAGCTTTTGTGCTAATAGACAGCCAAATGAATAGCCTCAGGAGAAACAGAAGCTGTGGAATTATTTCTGCTCATTCTAATTTAAATTTGAATAAGTGCTGCTAGAATATGTTCTTGGTTTTAGTAACTTTTATGTAGAACTGCAATCACTTGTCATTTAATTGAGTTAGGATTTAGGGGGTTGTTTTAAACACTTTGCTTTGGACTCCACAGTACAAAAAAGTTATTCCCATAATGGACAAAGTTCAGCACAGGACCACAAAGATTATTGCTAAGTCTGAGTACATGACATACAAGGATGGGCTAAGAGAACTGTTTGTTCCGCCTGGAGAAAAGGAAATGAGGGATTTTACTATTGCTCCAGCTATCTAAAGAAAGGTTACAGAGGAGATGAACCAAACAGGCAAAGGACACGATTTGCATCAATGGAAATTCTGGGTAGATGTTAGGTTGAAAAATACTTTCGCAGTGAAGGTAGTCAGACATTGGAGCAAGTTGCCCAGAGAAGCTATGGAATTTCAGACCTCAGCTGGGTATGACTCTGGACAACATTATCTAACTTGGAAGTTGGTTCTGTTACTCTGTGCTGAGCAGGAGGTTGGATCAGAGGACTTCTGCGTTCCCTTCCAACCTAAATGACTCTGATTCTGTTATTGATGAACTTTAATGTGGCTATTTATCAGCCTTTTCAAAATCAAAGGATTTCTCAAATTAATTTTTAGTTCCTCAGACCATGGTAGTACTGTCACTTCAAATTATGTATACCAGCCTTCTCATTCATTACCCCAGCAAAAAGTCCAAAGAATGTATAGCTCATGGAGTCTTTTTACTCATAAATAGTAAATCTTCCCAGATTTGAAGTTGAGACATGTTATTGCAATAAATTAAATTTGACATTTTATATTGGTCTTATGCTCTCAGGTGTCATACCAAAGGATCTGCGAAAACCAGTTTTAATTGCCATGGCATTTTGTAAGGAGGGACTCTACGCAACTGGAAGTGTAAGGCATCCTTTATGCTTTTAACTTACTCTTATTTTATGAAAATCAAGGAACATTCAAGTGGAGTATATTTGCAGAGTTCACTGCAAAGACAGGAGCTAGAAAAAAGTGGAAGGCTGCAGAACTATAAAGGTCCTCTTTGGTGTTGTGTGCATTTTCTTTGTTAAGACTTGAGACAAGAGATTGGAAGTGAGCAGGATGGGAAGAGATTCCATTTTAGTACTCAAAGAAGCAACAAAAGCAATCCTATTTTTAACAAAAGACAAAGAGTATTCTAGAGGAACAGAAAGGAAGAGTGGACAAAAAGTAGGAAAGGAGAGAAAATGGCAAAGAGAACTGCCAAACTGCTTTCTGCAAAATCTAACTCGCTATTTAACCCAAGCTGACGATGCCATTGTATGTTTCTGCTTAAGAGTCAGACAAATACTTACACAGTCTCAAAAAACCCAGCATAAAATCTTAAGTATTAACTGATAAGAGTCTGTTGTTATCAACCGTGGACTGCTACTAAGACTTGTATTAAAGAACACATTCATTTTCCAATAGATTTATTATCCAGGGTAAGAATCCTCTGGATTTAAACATAATAAAGGCAAATGAGACCATTAGTTATGGGATACAGTTGAACACTGTTACTTTAGGGATTTTTAGAAGTTCTTGCAGTTCAGTTTGCCAAAGTGGTTTAGGATAAATTACTTAGACCTGATCTGGATTTGTACTTTTCTACACAGGAGGGCTTTTTATTCTTTTATCGCATCAAAGGTCTGCAGTATGAAATGAAAATCTGCGCTGAAATCTTGCAACCAATATCCAACCTCATATTCTCTCCTGATTACACCATACTTCTGCTTGTCACTGAGCAGGTATAGGATCTGAGTTTATAGTGTTACATAATGGGATGTTCCTGATGTTCAATATGTGTATGCTGATACTATTAGAATGAAATGTCTGTAATGTGATCATACAAATCAACAACTTGTATCACAGGTGAATTTAGTCTTTCTTGTGTTTTTAATGAAAGATTGGAAAGACTTCTAATGAAGCACAGAACAATTGTTTCCTAGAGATGGTGGATTATAAAGTACCTAATGCTGAGATTTCCCAACAAAAATACTTGTATGTTTACAGTGGACTACATGTTCAGGGTCTCCAGTGTGTTCAGGGTCTCCAGTGTGTTCAGGGTCTCCAGTGTGTCCAGGTCATGTGGGACCTACTGCGCATGAGCTCTAGGCTTGATGTGTGCCTGCACAGTAAGAAAAACGTAGCTTTGGTACATTAGACCTACTGCAGCTACACAGTAGAGTTGTTCTGTACACGTACCTGAATTTGTCTGGCAACCCCATCCAAGATCCCTCTTTGACTGGCCTGATGTCCAGTAGTCTTACACAAGGGTCCCAAATCCTCACATTCCACCTGTTTTTCCAGACCTTTTATCATTTAAATTGGCATTTTTAAAGCTCTTCAAATGTTATTGTAGCGTGTGTGTGTATGAGGAGGTTGTGGGTTCAGGACATCAGTGCAATGGTAATTCTGGTCACACTCTCTTGCTGATTTCATTCTCCTTTTATAACATGAGTAAAGAAGTTCTAAAAACTTTGTCAGTATTAGTTATGAATTATTTCTTAGTGGCTTTGAGATCTTCAGATAAAAACATCTCTTAAAGCTTAAGATTTATGATTTGTGTTTTATGTCCTTTTAGAATATTTATTGGTGCTTGGAGTAATGTGAAATAGGGTGTTTCAAAATCATTTTATTAAAGCAATTTTGAGAAATAAAACTTCTTGAAGATGTGACTAGCTTGATCACTCTAAAATGAACTAACTTGATCTTCAGCTAGTGTAAACTAATATAATACACTAAATTCAGCTGAATTCTACTGAGCCTGTTTAACTTTAGAGCAAAATATAAAACTTTAAAAAGTGAAGCTCAGGAAGATGAGTAATCTTTGTCGAAGTCTTTGAAAGCTTTTAATGAAAAGTTTTCAAAGCCCAGTGATGGATTATTTCTCTTTATTTGTCAGGGGACAATGTATACTTACAAACCTGCCCAGAGTGGAGAAGCTGTCAAGCTCTTGGACCCATGCAGCAGTTGTTTTCTGGCAGCTGATTTTCTTACTCCAGGGAACAAGTACTGTGTAGTAAGAAATTGTATTCTTTCTTATGTATACTAGTGGCTCTTTTCAGGTAACCAAGATGTTGCTAAGGCACAAAACCAAAAGCCTTGCAGAGATTGAGACTGTTCTGATATTTGTTACAGTTTGTAACTTCTCGTTAATGAAACTAAATTGCATTAATTCAGGTATGGCCTATAAAAAGGTCAGAACTTGCCATAAAATGCAGGTTGGATAATTCACAGATTGCTAAACTGTCATGTTGGTTCTGCTCTTGATTTATGTGACTCACTATTGCTTCAGAACATAGCTGAGTGAAAGGTGGATTCAATTCAGAGAACAGATGTTGAAACAAGAATTTCCTACTAATCTTTTCAGCCTGGCACGGCCTGAGAGATGGCTCTGTCCTGGGTGCAGGGACAAACTGGGTCTTACTCATGGATCTGTCCATTCAAGAAATTCCTTGCTTTCCTCCTATGTCTTTGACTCCTGCAAGAAATATATTTTAGCTAGTAAGTCTGATACTTCTCCAGGTCATGCATTTTTCAAGTAGCCAGCCTAGGAACCCTGGGGTCTTAATCAGATTTGTTTGATGAAGCTGTTTGTTTTAGTGTGGGACTGATAAGTTTTACCTGACTCTGAATGAGTAATGTGAGGGTTGATTGTCTTTAGCCACATTTTACTGTGGAATTATAAAATTGTCTGGAAATAAAAAGAATTCAAGCACCATTATGATATGTATCATTTTTCATGTAAGAAAACAAGACCTCTCCTTGAAAAAAAAAATACAAGCAGGTTTTTCTATAGCTGGCTGAATGATGGGTTTGCTAATATTGATCAAGCTTACGTGTTTTGCCCTAGATTGTCTCATTCTGCTTAAAGATCATGCCTGTAGTAGCAGCAATTCACAAAAATTATTCAGTGTTCTCCTTCAGCAGGTGTACCTTGGAGAAACAGGGCTTAAAAGAAAAGCAAGATCACTCCAAGCAAAACTAGTAACCCTTGATCACTATGCTCAGACATTAGTTGAATTTATATTCTATGGAAGATCACTAGTCACTTCTGGACTGTTGGTTATTACACCCTCTTTTGACTTTGTTTTTTTTTTGTTCAACAGTCTGTAACAACTTCAGGTGAAGTGCAAGTTTGGTTCCTGGAAGATGGAACTTGCCTCAGCAAGCTCAACCTTGATGTTGAGGTACATGTAACCAGGAGTTTATATAGTGACTGATACTTGAAATTTTCTCTAGTATTTTTCAATTCATAGCATAATATTCCACAGATTTTGATTAACTAGTGTTGAGGAAAGCTCAGTAGTGTCTTTGAACAACACATGAAAGACATTTTAAAAATACTATCTTTCAGAAGGTTTCCTTGAACTAATCATGTATTTAACCTGGCCAGAAAGCAGAACATTTCGACCTAATGTCCTAATGATCTAAATTTTTATTATATTACTTGAGTAAATTTTTATTTTTTAATGGGTGTCACAACTGAAAGAAAAATTTCAAGTGTATGAAAACTAAATGCCTTGACTTATCTGAAAAACAGATTTTAGGAGTTTTTGAATTGATAAAAGTATTCCAAACTGTTAATGCTTTGACCTGAGTATTAAGACATTTGATTTAAGATGCATCCAAACCTTGAAATCTGACAGAATAAGAAAAAAAATCCTTTTCTATAGCAGCTGTATATGTAACAGTACACCCACTCTTTTATTCAGGTGGAATTTCTTTCACTTAAAATCTGGATAGTGGATATAATGTTTATTTTTTTTTCAGAGGAGTGCAGAATTAACTTTTGATACGTAGTTGTAGAGCATAGGTAAAATTCCTATGATGTCTCAAAAATCCTTTCTTTCTTTTAAAAAAACAAACAAACAGTTTTTAGATAAACCACTTGGGATTTCTTCTTCAAATTTTAGGAACTTTTAAATAGTAAGAGAGATTGCATACTAAGATATAGCGTAACTTATAAAAAGATATGGAACTGTTAAGTATCTTTTACTTCTCAACTAGGCAACTACAGTGGCTTGCTGTCCCTCCTCCAACAGTGCTGCTGTAGGGACCAAAAGAGGTCAAATCTATTTCCTTGATGTTACCAAAGTTGAAGCTCCATGGGTTGTTCACAGAATTTTTCTTTCCAGATTTCCAGTGCTGTCTTTGCAGTAAGTATGTAGTAACAAGGGCAGGAATATTGTCAATGTGTTGCTTGAATAATGCTGTTAATTGAACAAAAGAATTGTAGTTTTAATTCTAAAAATAGCAAAGTAATATATTTTAACAGCTTCAATTTTTTTCCAAGATAGTCTGAATTTCTTGCAAGAGGAGTAGTAGCAGGATTTATATGAAAGAATTATAATAAACCTGTATTTTAGGAAGTTTTAACTGAGCACTGAGCATAGTGGTGTAGAAGGTCCTTTCTGACAGATGTGCAGTAATTAGGTATAATTCTATGTATCTGAATTTAGATGGTTATTTCTCACTGAATATAAATTTGAAGTTTTGTGAAGTTGAGTTTAAGCCTTTTGGTTGTCCCTTCTTATATGGTGGATTTTTATTACCACTGTTAATTATTCATTTGCTTACAGTTCTGGAATTTACCAGTCCTCCTGTAATTAGCTTTAGTGTTCTAAAAGGGGGTTTTTTGTATGTTTGTGGGGTTTTTTCAATTATTGAAAAAATGAGAGAGTATTTACTTCTACTTTTTTTAAAAGTTGAATGGATTTTAGACTGTTAAACTTTAATGTAAATCTGCCTGTTACTTAGAGGCTCAGATGTGATCTATTTTCAGAGTTACCCAAGGTAAAACATTAAAAATAGATACCAAAAGCAACTTATTCAAAGTCAAATTAATACAAACAAGGACAAATCTATTCAAAATAATATCAACATCTGTATAGTAGGGTTTTTTTTTTTTAAAAAGGAAACTTCAAAGAAAGATTTAATAAAGTTTTTGAGATAGACTGCTTTGGAGTATCATTAGCTTTAGATTGACCACCCATTCAATTAGAAATTGCAGTCATGAGACTGGGCTCTCTGTCAGGCACTAACCCTCTAAAGACAGAAGATGAAATTTCAGGTGCATTTATGTCCTCAATGAAGTCAGCAGAGTTATGGGAGTAGAATTATTTGACGCTTTTTATTGACTGTATTGAGCTGTTTCTACTTGGATTTATATTTTACCTAGTTATGATCAGAGTGGCCAGATCCTCATCGCTAGAGCTACAGAAGGACATATCTTTATTCTAGATGCTCGGCCTTCAAAATTATTCCAGGTTCTTGGATATGTAGGTAATATATGTAACAATATTAATTACATTGTGTTTTCACTATTTGCTGTATTTTAAGTATTTAAGACAGTTTATGGTTGGATTTGATGAGCTGAAGGTTTTTTCCAACCAAGTGATTCTATGATTCTATACTTGCTGGTCAGACTAAGCCATTCTTCTTAATTCTACTTATTTGTAGGACTAAACATATTCTTCCCACCTATTTCCCATCCATATTTTGTCCTGGTCAGTCTTTTATTTTTCGCTCTGTAATTTTAGTTAGCAAATGCACCAGCATTACTTTTCTTGCAGGGCACGTATAAGTCACAAGGAAGAGAATGGATTATCTGACCAGCTGATCCCAGCTCCAGCACAAAAGTAATAGTGCTGGCAAAGAACTTAAGACCTTTGTGGCTCCCCATATGAGAACTTAAACTAAAAAGCTGTAGATCATGATAGCAATATACTGTTACAAATGTCTGCCTCAAATATCTTTAATATTAGGACTGCTGGAATTGTCAGCTTTGCTGGTTGATACTGAAGAATAAAAAAAAGATGGAATTGCAGTTCACAAAACATTCTTCTTAAATTTGTGAATTTGTTTATGCAGTCTCTAAATTCTAATAACATTATACTTAGAGATCACATCTGTGCATATAGATCTTCAGCATAATTTTAAGTATAAAGGACATTATTTTACCATTTTAATATTTTGACAAATGTAGAATGACATCTCCTTAGATAATTTTCAGAAATTGCCTGACCACAGCTTATTGTCTGGCTGACTTCTTAAAGGAGGGCTTTTCTGTACTTTATCTGGCAGTTATCAGCTAACAGCCTCAAAATTGCTACAATTCAGGCTGGATATAAACGCAGATTTGAATGTTTAATGTAATAATAGCACTCTGGTGCTTAGCATTCTCAGCACCTGATGCCTCAAGCTGAAGTTGTGTGCATGCAGAACTTTCTGAAACCAGGTTGTGGCGTGTCTGCCATTGTAATGCAAGTTCAAAACTGTGTGGTGGACCTGACATATATTCTGAACAGATCTGGTTTTGTTTCACATGGTATCTTAGGAAAAACAATGTTACCATGATTCAGTAACAGTTTGCATTTGTGTTCTCTACCTGCTTCAGTGTTGACAGATGAAGTGCTGGATCTTTCTGTAGTTTCTGACTTCAAGAATGACTTAGTTGAAGTAATGGTACTTCTTAATGTAACAGAAGTCCAGCGAGCAAGACTGGAAATTCTTTGTCTGTCTTCAGCACTGACAACAGGTAAGAACTGAAATATATACTATGTGATATTTTCCTAAGGCAAGAACATATTATTGCCACCCCTTAACACAAAATACTAGCAATCTTAATCTTTCTTAATCTCATTTGTACATTCTCATTTGTACCATTTCTCATACAGAAGTCTGTAGACTTACAGTAATTCAGTTATCATGAAAGGGCTTAAATGCTTTAACTTAAATAAAGCACAGTGCAGGCTAATGTTGTGCTTGGCGTCTTCATCTATTCTATTCTATTCTATTCTATTCTATTCTATTCTATTCTATTCTATTCTATTCTATTCTATTCTATTCTATTCTATTCATGCAGCTAGCATGGACAGGCTTGGTTGACAATGGTACCATGCACTTCCAGTTTTATGTCTCACAGAAAAACAGAATATTAGGAGTTGGAAGGGACCTCAAAAGATCATCCAGTCCAACACCCCTGCCAGAGCAGGATCACCTAGACCAGGTCACATAGGAACATGTCCAGGTTGGTTTTGAATGTCTCCAGAGAAGGAGACTCCACAACCTCTCTGGGCAGCCTGTTCCAGTGCTCTGTCACCCTTACAGTAAAAAGGTTTTTCCTCATGTTCAGGTTGAACCTCCTATGCTCCAGCTTGCTCCCATCACCCCTTGTCCTGTCATTGGACATCACAGAGAAGAGCCTGGCTCCTTCCTCCTGACAGTCACCCTTTACAAATTTTTAAACATTAATGAGGTCACCCCTCAGTCTCCTCTTCTCCAAGCTAAAGAGACCCAGCTCCCTCAGCCACTCCTCATAAGGGAGATGCTCCACTCCCTCGATCATCTTTGTGGCTCTGCGCTGGACTCTTTCAAGCAATTCCCTGTCCTTCTTGAACTGAGGTGCCCAGAACTGGACACAATATTCCAGATGCGGTCTCACCAGGGCAGAGTAGAGAGGAAGGAGAACCTCTCTTGACCTACTAACCACAGCCCTTCTGATACTCCCCAGGATGCCATTGACCTTCTTGGCCGCAAGGGCACATTGCTGGCTCATGGTCATTCTGCTGTCCACCAACACCCCCAGGTCCTTTTCTGCATGGCAGCTTTCCAGCCCCTCGTCCTCAAACCTGTAGCGCTGCATGGGGTTCTCTTCCAACTAAGAATTGCCAAATCAATATGGAGGTTTTAGTGTTGTCTTCTGTCTATCACATTACAGTAAAAAGCAGCTTGTGTTCATTATTAACATAATTCTGGTTTTGTATAATTTTACATTATATGCAAATTAATTACTAACAAAGCCCTTTGTGGAGAAAACTTCCATAAAACTGTTAGTAAGCCTAGTGTCAGATTTTCTAGTTACTTACATATAATTTTTCAAAGGCTTTAAAATTTGCAATCTTTTTTTAAAAGCAATTTTCAGTGAAGTTAGTATTTTCTTTAAATATTCACTAATATTCGGCTTCTTTTTGTGCCCAAGTTTAGACATATAAAATGGGGCTTGATTTTCAAAGTTGCTGAAGATCTACAGTTATGGCATCAGTCTTAATTTCAGGTGTCTCTTTAAGGCTTAAATTAAGCAACCAAAAAGAATAAAATTCTCTTTTGAAGATGTGAACTTAAGTGTTTTAATCAATACCACCCAGGCTGTGTGTACTTCATGGGAGAGATGTCTAAACAAATTTTAACTGAAAGCAATGATGACATGAACCTCTGTGCAAACTAATTAGTACTGCTTATGTAATACCCAAAAGCAGGGTAAATTAGTGTATACAAATTGTCACATCGGTGTAGTTAAACTGTTTCTAGTACTTCTTAAGAGCTAGTAGAGCTGTCTCTCTGCTATATCACTACAACCCACAGAGTTGGTGTTAAAGCTTAATTCCCAGTCTCCTTGAAAACTCACATCATGCTTACTCCTTGCTGAGGTTAGTTTTCATAATTACTTGATAGGTGAAGCACCTGCATTAGTGGTAGTGCTGCCTCTTCGTCCCTGCTTCTTTTTTCAATCTTTTAGATAAAGATAAGTATGTTAATGAAAAAGGAATGATTGATGCTAGTGCCATTAAAAAGGAGCAGTATGATCTGGATTACCCTTTGAGCTCAGCAGTCAGATTAAAGGATAACACTGTGTATGGCTACTGTACCGGCGCATCTTTCATCTGCAAATACCATCTCTCTGAAGAGGTAATTTGCTTAAGCTGCTTTATTTTAGGTGGTGGTTTAATACAAGCGAACAAAGGCTGTAGATGAATATAGCAGGATATTATCTTAAATAATTCCTCTCTGCACTAAAAATACCTACTTCATCCATAAACATCAACTTTCAGTATCCTACCACCTTCTCAGAAACCAGGTGAAAGAAATCCCCTTGTTCTATCACAGACAAAGCCGAATACTGGTCCTTAAAACTCATACAGCTTGCAGTCACTTCATATGTAGCTTCTGTACTGGAGCGGTGCTTTTGTGCAGTCTGCTGAGTAACCTGAACATCCAGCTGTTGAAGAAACTGAGCCAATGTGAGCCAATAACTCTAAGACACAAATGCAGCCTAGCACCTTGCAGTGAGGTAGTGGGGGCTTCAGGAAGCCACTGTCATTGCCTGCTGATGAACTGGAGCTCTTTACAACTCACAGATCTTCCTCATTTCAAGAGCCAGGTCAAGCAAGAAGGTGAATTCCAAAGGCAAACATTCCTCCCTGTGAAATTTCATACTTTCTGAGCCAAGAAACTCCAGGCCCAAACATAATACAGACTCTTTTGAAGAGATGAGAAGCAAATCAGCAGCATAGCAATGGCACTGCTTCCTGGGCTCAGTAATCCAACAAATATTAAATTGCAAAGCATATGACAACCCACAAAGTTCTCATTAGTTTTCTTAAAATGGCATGGATATTTCCATCATCTGAATTGTTGTTAACATTTTGTTTGTTTGGCAGACTATGTTGAAAGATCCGTCAATATTTTTATCAGAAAAGAGGATTCCAAGCAATCAGTTTGGATCAGGTTTCCTCTGCTTATCACCCAACAGCCAGTGGCTGGCATCAGCAGCAAAGGATGGTGCTTTGTTCATCTATGATACTTCTGCTATGGTAGGTGGGCATCCAGGCACAGGCTTTGTTTGGTTTACATGAGGAAGAGGTGTGGAAGCTACTTTCTTTCACTGTAAGGTTTCCTTCAGTTGAATATAAGGTGTTCCAGAAAAATTTATGTTGAATATGAACTGACATAGGCTTATAGAGTACAACCGTTTTCTAATAAATGTGCATATGATCATATAAACTACTTGCTTTCTTCTCCAGTAAATCATAGGGTAGATAATTTTATGACTCTTCTTTATTTCCCGCAAAATCAATGTACTACAAACTTTCCCCATCTGTGGTCAAAAAGTTTAAACTCATAAATCCTAGTCTTTTATATACTTTGCATTGACATTTTGAATTGACTTTTATCTATAAATAAAAAAGCATAGATGTATTCCTTTAGAAAAACATTTGCTGATGCTGCTGCTTTGACTTTTCTAGGAAATACTTGCTCAAATGTATTGTCACTCATATCAAGGAGGGGGAATCAGATCCATGGTATTTTCGCTGGATGGCAAATTCATTCTTATTAATGGCAAAAATGATGGTACCCTGGTGTGTCTGAAATGGAAGTATGTATAAAGTGGCAGATCTGTATTGTTAATGTAAATTCTTGTATCCTGACAGACTCATTTTTGCATTTACTTGTGATTCTAGACTTCCTTTTTATTAGTCTTAAAGGGAAGAATTGGATAGAGATAAAATCACTCCTTTTTAGAGGCAGTCTCACTGGCTCATGAAAAGTCTTATACTTCGGGTACAGTTGCAATACAAGATATAGGAGTATATCGTGATAAGTATTAACCATAGCGAGCTTCTTATCACTCTCAAATAAGCCATCTGGAAGGGGCTTTATGGGGATGTAAGGGATGTAATCTCATGAGATATTATTTTAACTTGGCTATTAGGAGACATCACAGCTTTAATGGGAATCCAACTGTGGCTATAAGAGTTCTTAGCAGACATTAGCAGTAACAGACACTTGAAATTACTGCTTTTCTTGGTATAACAAATGTTCAGGTAGATGTATAGACTAAAGGTGACTCTGCCAGAGCAATATTTCTAATCTGAGTAATCCATCTTTCAGGATTTCTAATTCTGTGGAAACTTCACTTAATTGTGCAATTCTAGAACTCAAATAATATTGAATCATATGTAAAAATATTGAATAGGCATTTTTAAATAACTTAGTAATTGCATTACAAAGAATATTTAATACTTCGTCCTTTTCCATACTACACAAAAAAATACATCAGTTCCCTTTCTGTTTACTAGGAAGATAAAGAAAATTGAAGTTAAGGAAGCTGATTTTCACTGGCAATCTCTTCTTGCTATACTGAACAAGTCTACTTCAAATGAAAATGTTGTTTTAAAATCTATGGCAGAATGGCAGTTTGACCCAGAGACCACATCGAAATCACTTCCAGATAAGAAATTTAAGGTGTCTTCTTCATTTTCATGGCGGGGGGAAAGTTTGATCATTACCCTAAAATTACACGTGATAAAAACTCTTCTCAAAAGAAACTCTGATCCTTATGTAAAAGTACAAGAATACCTCTGAGGATAGGCTGAATATGCTTCATTATTAACTTGTGTAATAGTACTATCAAGGAAATGGAATAATTATGGGAAGATGACATTCGCATCTTCAGTTTCACATGGTTTCTTCAGCCATAGAAAACTGCATGAAAGTCAGTTTCTCTTCATGTGAAGTTATGTGTCATTCCCAGCGTGATGTTATGGCTATACATTTTGTGTTACTAGTCATGTAATTTTCTGCTGAAATCAAGCAAAGCAGTGGTTTTGAAGATTAGTACAGTCAGCTCATTTAAGTCAAAAGGCTTGGCATAATAGCAAGGGTTTGCAGGATCAAATCTGGTGCCTGGTTAGGGAATAAAAATTTTGTAGCACTCTCCGGAATTTGATGGTGGTGGTGTTGCTTCTAATGCAAATCCATTTTTATTTCATTTCTGTCTCTCATTCTCTCTAAGTATCTGAGATGGATGTTTATATCCTTAATTGCAGGAGGCACCACTTAAATCTTCCAACGTAGAGGTGAAAGAAGAAGATGGAAATGTCACCGGCTTGTATTCAGACAGTACCAATGAGATGACATGGATAGGTCAGAAAATAAAGAAGGTACTTTCATAGAACAAGTATTAATCAAAGCCAATGTTTTCAAGAGTTAGTAGTGAATTTGGGTGTCAAAATATATGCTGTGAAGGAATCTAGTTTCTAAAGCTTATCTGACATTTGGATCTCTCTTTAACACACTGTGACTTAGACTTTTAGAAATCCTAGGTCAAGGTTATAAACACATTAGAGAAGGTACCGAATACAATAGCTCTAAAGACCAAAAGACCACTTATACACAGGGAGTAAACGAAATAAAACTTGCCTGAGAAATTGGCTTTCTAAAGAAACTTATAAAGACTTTTTTCTTCTAAATGTCAGAAAGTTGCATAGATTATTACCAGAACCAAGCAGGTGCGCTCTTCTTCCCAAGGGCCAGAATAGCAAATTCTACAGCACTGATAAATCAACACTCAACAGTATGACATTAAGTACAAAAACCCTGAGGTTTATTTCAGGTTAAGGTTAAAGTGAATATGTTATGTAACCAAAGTTTTTTGTAAGTAAAAGTGCATCAAAGATCAAACTGTCTACAGACAGGGGATTTAGCACTTTGTGAGCCTGGAAACTGCTATGTTAGTGTTAATATAGATTATTATTTTCCCAGAAATATTAATTTATAGGTGCTAGCAGGTTCTTTCTGATACGGGCCAGAGCTGTGTATTTTGTCCAGCTTTTGATGTTCAATGATAGGACAAAACAAAATATCATTGCTTTCTCGGTGATCTCAGGAGTCATTTAACAAATTATGATGCAGTTTCGTAAGTGGCTCAAGTCAGTCTAAGATATACTGCCAGTGAAAGTGGCATCTTCTCCCTCTCCCAGACATGTATTCTTGTTTCTGCTTTGATGCTGGCACTCATGCTTTGATGTTTCTATTGGGCTTTTTTGGCACATCCATGTGACTGCATACACACAAGTACCACACGACTATTAGTATCACCTAGGGACAGGGGATCAGAAACAAAGGTTGAAGGGCAGCAGTGTGGTCCTAGATTGTTTTAAGCTGCTCATTAATGTCCTAAGAGACTTGAAGAGTCCATCCAATGTCAGAATGATACACCTCTTCCTTTCAATCAATAGCCATCATCCTACTTAAAGTTGTAAACTTATTTTAGAAAGAAATTCCAGAGGTGCAGAGTAATTGCAGAATTTTCCCTAAAAGATGAATCGGCAAGGATATAGAGGCAAAGATAATTGCACTGCTTCCATAATGAGTAACACACGTTAGTTTATTTGTGCCTTTAAATATCCCACTGGAAATGCTTAGTGACAATGAAAATTTTAAGGAATATAAAACACTTAAATTCTGGCAGTAGGCTTTACCTAGTTCAATCTGTCTGTAATCATTTCACTTGCAATTACTTCTTTCTTTAACATTTTCTTTTTTTTAAGCTCTATTCCTGTAAAACCAGTTTACGATGTGACCTGGTTGTACAATCATTTTTCTCTTGACCAGTTCTAAGAATCTTCCTATTGAATAAGGATTATGTCTGTTTCAGTTATTAATCCCTTTGGAGTTGTGTTTTCTGTACAGATAATGTTCCTCTAGATTATATCAATCTTTTTTTCTCTTCTTGTCTTTTTTTGTCTTTCAACAATATATTTGATGTTATGTCAGGTCATTAGAGAAGAGAATCACAGGTTTGCTAACCAGAAGGAAGAGCTGCTAATGGGAATTAGAAAGCTACATAAAAGTTTCTTACAAAAGTAATGGCTCAGTTTACTAGTTTTGTTTACAAGTATGTTTCCTTTATGCCTATCAGCACTAGCACTCAAATACATTTTTGTCATAAACTCTGAGCAGACAGGTAATAAAGAGACATGCTTCTTCAGGGACTATATTCTGAAACTGTCAGGAACTACTGTCTGGTTCTATTTCCTTTGCTCCAAATAAGTATTTTGTGCCACCCTTATACCTTGAGCAATCTATGCCCACAGCAGGCTAGTTTCTGCCTAACAACCTTCTATTATAGAAACTACTGTCCTCTGCTCTTCCTTCTCTTCCCTTCCATAAAAAATTACTATCTGCAAGAGGACAAGGCAGAAGGTCACCTAGGCCAGTCTGCCCAGGACCATGTCCACACAGATTTCATTATCTCCAAGGACGGAGACTCCATGACCTCTTTGGGCAACCTGTTGCAGTATTTAGTCACCTTCACAGTAAAAAAGTGTTTCGTGATGTTTGGGTAGAACCTCTTGTGTTTGAGTTTGTGCCCATTGCCTCTGGTTCTGTCACTGGGCACCACTGAAAACTGCTTGGCTCTGCCCTCTTAGCTCTCTCCCTTCAGGTATCTATATACTTTGATTAGATTTCTCCCTTTTTTTCTTAGGCTGAATAGTCCCAGTCCTTATCTCTCACCTCCCTCAACCTGCTAACAATACTCTCAATACAGCCCAGGATACCATTAGCCTTTTTTGCCCCAGGGTCATGTTGCTGGGTTATGTTCAACTTGGTGTCCACCAGGACCCCCAGCTACTTTTCTGCAAAGCTGTTTTCCAGTTGCTGAGCACTCACCATGTTCTGGTGCATGGTGCTGTTCCTCCCCATGTGCAGGATTTTGCACTTCCCTTTGTTGAACTGTATGAGATAGAGAACAACTTAATAAAGTGATAACAACTTAATAACGTGCTCAAAACAAAAGAATTGTGTACTACAGGTTCTTAGAAAGTATACACAACTTCACATATAACTTCCAAATCAACTGTAAGAGAAATATTAATTATATTCACATAGTATTCTCTATCACTAGCTACAGGCATTCTACCAATTACCAGGAAGCAGTTAAAAGTGAAGGCAATTAAAGTAATTTTCTCTGATATCAAGTTCTATAATGTTAACTATAAACTATAGCATCTTCTCTATTCACATTCAAATTACTTTTTATTCCTTATACTTATTTAAAAAAAAACAACCAACAGATCCAGAAAATGATGCATGAAAATGAACAGGTGCCAGACATTGAGAAACTGGAGAAGCATGAGTTCAACCTGGATATAGAAGAACAGGAGAGAGCGCAAGCAAAGGCGGATCAAGAAGTGGCCAGGGTATGATAGAACTGGGGGAGAACATTTTAAAACTAGCAGTGAAAGGAGAAAGAACGATTGAAGAACAGAGGATGATCTCGAGGTTGCTGTTCACTGCTGAGAAGCAGGAAAACTTTAAAGTATTTTAAGTCATTTTTTGAAGCAGGTGAAGCTGCTGATGCAGGCGTTGCCAGTTGGAATATGATCTATGCCAGAAACTACAAATCTGACACTGTGGCCTTGAACACATTGCTTAAGTTCTGTAATGCTTTTCTTCACATAGAAAATGATGTCTTTCAGTAGTATGCAATATAATTCTTGGAGAAGATAGCTGTGATAGTCTAAGATGATGAAAAATTGGTAATTCATTTCATCTGTTAGGTTTATTTCAATAACTCTGTACCAATTGCCTGTATCTTGTTATTTTGCACTGCATCTTATTATGTTCTTTTCTTTATCTTGAAAGGTGAGGGAGGAGATTGAGATGGAGAATTTAGCTAACCGCTATTTGCAGGATGTCATCAAACATGAGTGCTGGGACTCTATGAGCGTAAAGGGGCGTGCAGTTAAGGTAACCTCTGCTTTCTAATTCATTTTCTACAGTAGTTTATTTATTCCTAAAGGCACAGAGACAAAATAAATAGAAGTACAACACGTTTCTGATTTGCTTATGGTATGGGAAAAAACTTCTTTCCAGGGCTCATGCAAATCTTTCATTCTGTTCATTTTGTCTGAGCCTGGCTGATTTTACCTTCTGAGGTGGGTAAGAGTGCTGATAAGCAAATAAGCAATTCTTTAATTCCTTGGTTTTAGAGATTATATTTATACAGTGTTTTTTACAGTGATTAGGATGTTCTGACTAGGCATCTTAACCCTTCTTTGCATAGATACATTTCTAAGGTCTGTTTTCTTGCTGTAGAAATGGTAATAAAATTAAAAATATAATTAAAGATTAAATGTTGTGGTTTTACTCAGAACAAATGTGTTACTATTAAAGAATCACAGAATAGCTGAGGTTAGAAGAGCCCTCTGGAATTCACGAAATCATAGAATCGTGAGGAGGAGAGGGATAACCGAGTCTATTGGACTGTGGGGGTTCAATGGCCTGCATTGAGAAAAGCAGGCAAGCAGGCAGGAAACAAGTAGTGGAAAAGCAGGGGGAGGGTGGGGGGAGGATTTTATTTTTCAAACTGTAAAGTCTTCTTTATTCTCTTTTCTCTTCCCTTCGGGGGAGGGGAGAGGGGTTAATAGAGAGCATCTGTCCAGGATTTAGTGGCCACCCCAGCCCTAAACCATGACAATGCTGTGTCTACATGTCTTTTAAATACCCCTAGGGATGGTGACTCCACCACTTCCCTGGGCAGCCTGTTCCAATGCTTGACAACCCTTTTGGTAGAGAAATTTTTCCTCATATCCAACCTAAAACTCTCCTGGTACAACTTGAGGCAGTTTCCTCTTGCCCTATCACTCATTACTTGGGAGGAGAGACCAGCACCCACCTTGCTACAGCTTCCTTTCAGGTAGAAAGCAATAACGTCTCCCCTGAGCCTCCTTTTCTCCAGGCTAAACACCCCCAGTTCCCTCAGCTGCTCCTCATAAGTCTCATGATCTAGAGCCTTCACCAGCTTTGTTGGCCTTCTTTGGAAACACATCAGCATCTCAATGATTTTCTTGTAGTGAGGAGCCCAAAACGGAACACAGTATTTGAGATGTGTCTTCATCAGTGCTGAGTAGAGGAGGACAATCACTTCCCTAGTCATCTAGTCCAATCCTCCTAGAAAAATCTACTCAGGGCTGTGTTCAGTCAAGTTTGGAATATCTCAAAGGATGGAAGACTCTATAACCTCTATGGGCTACCTCTTCCCATGTTTGGCAACCCTCACAGGAAAAGTGTTTTATTATGTTTAAGTTGGATGTCATGTATTTCGATGTATACCCATTTCCTCTCAATCTGTTACTGAGCACCACTGAGAAGAGTCTGGCTCTGTTGCCTTTACTACCACAATCACGTTTTTATATGCATTATCTCCCCAAGTCTTCTCCTTCTTGAGACTAAACAGTTCCAGCTCTCTTAACCTATCCTTGCATGTTAGATGCTTCAAGCCCTAAATTGTATTAGTGGCCTATCACTGGACTTCCTCCAGTTTGCCCATGTCTTTCTTATACTGGGGAACACACAAATGAACCCAATATTCCATATATGATCATTTCAACTTGTATTACTTTGATCACTGAGCTTAATTACAGACTATAACCTCTAGATTTTTTTCATACATGTGCCACTGGATTGTGTACAAAATTAACATAGTTATCATGTCTGTGATATTCAGCTTCAGAAATAAAATCTTGAGACTGAGTCTGAGATTGTATTATCGGAAGGAGAGAAGGCAGAAGAAGTAACGGCTGATGATAGCGCATCTTACTGCCTAATTGGAAGTCTGAGCTCTCAGTATAGACACATCTATCCTTTACCACCAGTGGGACTTGCATACCAGGGAGCAGAAAGTCAATCAGATAGTATTATTAAAGGTGATGTCTTCTTAAATTTATATTACAGCAGTGACACTGTCATATCTGTTGGTTCTCACAGCAGTCACAGCCACTGTTAGATATTCGGCATACTAGCACTAAACGATTGAGAGTTGCACAGGTCTCTGAGTTACTGAGATGAAAGCTGGTAAAAGCACGTAATACAGCAGAGCACCATGTGAATTTGCCAGCTCGGGTCTGGAATAAAAACATTTTAATGAAATTGGTTACCCAATTTGAGGGTATCTGTATTTGCCCACTGGTGCTTCAGTTTGAGAGGCTGTATAGCCAAAGCTAGCTTGCATATCTCAGCATGTTATTTATTACTCATTACTATCAGACTGTCTTACTTCTCTTACTCTGTCCAGTTTATTATGTAGTAATAAAAGAAGACGATCTACAAGGTTAGAAGTGCTTAAACTACTATAATGCATTGCCTCCTCAGAGCTCTTTAAGGCTGTAAATGGTAGCAGAGCTCAATGATTATACATTGTATACATAAAAATCTAGTAGACAGATACACTAGTGTTTAAAGTAGATCGAGAAGAAACACAATGAGCACTTTTAAATGTAAGCTTGGATGTAACAAGATCTTTCTACTATATGGCTTTAAAGATGCATATTATATATCTAAGTGTAGATATATCTTCATTGTTCTTGGCCAATGCAGTGACCTTGCTGAGAGTTAAATGGCTGGCTAGACATTGAACACAGCCTTTTTTCTCCCAGCAACTTTGTACCTTATCTGCCATTATTACATCCTAACTTATTATTATATTAGAAAACAATGAAATAAACATGGATGCAAATATTTATTGTAATACAAATTGCAAAGAGCTAAGTATCTCAAAATGTGAAGTTGGGTTTTTTTTCATGTTTCATTTCAGTAAATTGACACAGTAGAAAACACATGGTTTTCTCTCTTATTATTCTACTTTTCTTTGTTAAGATCATTTATTTAGGCTAAAGGAACAATTTATCCACTAAGAATATATGCTTTTTAAAATCATTATAAGGTCTTAGGTGTTTTAAAAAACTTAATTTCCAATGTTTGTTTATTTAATGGGCACATTTTACTTACATATGTCAGACATAAAACCACATGAACACGTATTGAAACTGCAGGTTGCATCACTTAAAAATCAGGAAAGTATGTCCTTAACTCTGCCTCCCTGCATATGTGATTTACAGTCTCAAGATTTACAGGTCATGTGTTTTTTTCTTTGAAGCCCCTTTTTCATTCACCTGAAGAGTGCGAAAAAACAGCAAATAGAAGGCAGCCTAATTTTTTTCTAGTTTTGGCAGCAGTATGTTTCTTTCAGAATCTTTGCCAAGTGTAGAAGAAAAGGAATAAAAATTTCTAGAAAAAAAAAATCCCAAACCTGTTAATATGCCCACCCCCATTTAACAAAGCTTAAGCTCTGCCCTTATGATTTTCACAAAAGGGCTTTACCAGTTTACCTCCCTGTCACACATACACATAGAAATACACACATTTATGATTCTGATGGCTTGAGGAGTGGTATGTAGTGATGGATGGATGTGACCTGTGCAGTACTGCTGTTTCCTTTTTTTGTACTGCAGGACATCATTTACAAAGTGAAAACTGCTTTTTATAAGGAATTTGACATAGTTGCTCAACAAAAGGAGCAGGAGATAGCACGAGTGAAAGAAAGAAACCTGAAGATCCGAGAAATCTTGGCACAACTTGACCTCCAAGTGGAAGTGTGGGAGCCAGCTCTTACAGATGATGAGATACCAGAGCGAGCGCTTACTGTTCAGGATTCAGAGGTGACTGAAAAATAAATCTTTCCCTTTCACCTACTCAAATACAGTTCTCTAATTCTTCTCATTTCCAGACATTGTGTCAGTACTGAAAAGCCTTGAAATAGATGTGTCTATGTACTTAAAATCATCTTTTTGGCACTTTGCTTCCCTTCTGTTTTTAGGGAGAAAGCCCTTAATAAGTCAATCTGAAATGAATAAAATGTATACGGTATTAATTTATGTCTGGTAAAAGTTATAAATTGCCCATAAATTAGGTGGAAATTCCCCCTGTTCCTGACTATGAGATTTAAACCAGGCTTGCAAGGATTATTTCCATAGATAATCTCTGTTTTCTCTGAGCACCATTTTGAAACTAAGTAGTTTCAAACTAAGTATCTAGGTACTAAAGCATACTTAGTATTGAACTTAAAAATTCAATAGATAATTGATAATTTATAAAGAAACACCACATTTCTTAAACAATATATTCCACTGATCTCATCTGCTCTTTTGGTCAGTCTTCCTCCACTTCTCTGCTCTCTCACCAGTCCATGTTATTCTACTGAAAGAACAGTTATGCACAAATCCCAACTAATATCAACAAAAATGATGGTACTTTGTATTTTAGAATTTCTCAATATAGCTTTTGTAGCTCTTTGAAAGAACAATTTTCTTTTTAACGAATATTATCATAGAGCAGAGATACAACAAACATTAAGAATTAGCATTACACCATCTTTACAAATGTCCTTAGTCGACATGTGATTACATTTGGAGAAAAGAACCTTGATATGAACCTTATTTTCTTCTTTCAGATTAAGATTGAAAAATACTTGACCCAACAAGAGAGAGAGCAAGCAGAAATGCTGGCTAAGCTTGAAATGGAAAGACGCCTTGCTGCTAAGGTACATAAATTAGTATAGTTTTTACTGAATAGGCCTTTGACTTTGGTTAGGCTTAGTTAGTTAGTGCTGCACTGGAACATTCCAGTAATGTAGTATGGGAGCATAAATTCAGAATTATATGTACTGATGATGTATGCCTTTTAGTTCTTATTATCATTTACAGTCAGAACTACACAGACCATCTGGGGGAAGAAAAGATTTAGTGTTAGGCTTACAGTTTTTAAAAATGTGCTTAGCAGCAATTAAAAATACCATATCAAGTGATGCATGCTACTGCTCAATCAAGAGCTTTGTGCCTGATAGGTGTTTGTTGACTGAGCAACATCTGTTCTTTAGGGATCAGACTAGATCATAATGCTTTCCTCTGATTTTAAAATACATCTATGAAAAGCCCAAGATGGTTCTGACCCCAAAAGAGATGCACAGTAAGACAGTGACACTACAACTTCCTTCATCCTAGCCTGCCAACTGGCCAGCAGTAGTCTATGCCTGTGTATTCTTTCCAGGAAGAATTTGTAATTTTGCATAGGAACATCTGTCTACCAGAAAAAACTTGGAGACTTTCAGCATATTTCACATACATCACCGAAGAGCATTAATCTACTAGTGACACACAGTATAATCATATGAGTAACCTAGGGGTGAACTACCCTAACATCATTCTCAAAACTTCCAATTACTACACTTCTTTTGTACCCTAAAATATTTTTTGTGGTCATTCCCAGGATAATGAAAGACTGCGTGCTCTTGATTATATGATGGGTGGAGTGCTAGAAGTCAAAAAGGAAGACATCTTGAAAATGGTGAGCTGCATTTCTGCCACATAATTTAGGTAGCTTGTGGGCTTTTAAGGAAATGTGAAATTCAACTAGCAATTATTTGCAACCTAAGTGATAGAAGAAAGTCAGAGTATTGTAGAATTGCATTATGCCTGACAGACTGTACAAAAGACCATACACTGGACTCAAAAGAGACCACAGTATTATAGTGTCTGCATATAGTTTACCCATGAACGCCTCTCCCTATCGCAGTGGAATAGTATAGGAACATAATCTACCATTACAACAACTGTATTGCTGAGGGGAGGGTCTATTATCCATGGCTGTGATCTTATGGAAAAATACTGTGTTCCATTTAACTTAGCAAATATAGATAGTACAGAAAAAAAAAAGAATCAATGTGAAGGAGTATCATAGAAAAAAGTATAGGGCAGACCCAAGCACTCTCTGGAACTGATCTGTTTTGGAAAATTAAGGCTCCACTTAGAAATACACATTAACATGAAGTTAGATTTGGGGTTCTGAAACAGAAAAAGTGATATATTTTATGCCAACAGTAGTATGTTTGTGTAAAAAATACTTGTATTTCATAAGATGATAGAATGTATTGGGCTGGAAGGGACCTTTAAAGATCATCTAGTCCAACTCCCCTGCAGTAAGCAGAGACATTGTTACTAGATAAGGTAACAATCCAGCAGCGAATTCCTGTAAGCAAGTGAGAGAGAATGGCATAATATATATACACCAAAAATATTGGTGCAAGTGACAGACCAGAGAAACAGAATATATGTGTTTCTTAGACTTAAGGTTTGTACCTTACCACTAAGAAATACCTTTCATTAAGTGTGATGCATGCTATAATTTGTTAGTGTGCTGATGGAGACTTAATATTGCTTTTGAAACATATTTGTCTTTAATATTTCCAGGATATTCCTCCACCTTCTTTTGTATACAAGCCTGAGCAAGTTTGGAGTGAAGAAGAAAAGAAAATATTTGAAGAATATCAGAGAAAAGTCAAGGAGCTGAATGAAGAAAAACAAAAGTGCAGAAGGGTAAATTAAAATGAGAAAAGGAGTGTTTTTGTTCACAGTGCTCATGACCAAAGTTTCTGATTTTTCTCAGGAGCTGCTTCTAAAAATTAATACTAATAAATAGAATAAATTAAGAACAAATTAAGAACAAAGATCATGTGGTATATTAAAGAAGTCCTACCTTAGACACTAAAATAAGACAATCTACTTATGCCAATTAACACATGCTAAAACTTAAAATATCTGACAAAAAGTAACTTTCTTTCACAGATGTACCTATGTTCCTAAAATGGTTTTTTTTCAGGTTCAATTGCTAGAGTTGCTGATGCCATACACAAATAATACCATTATGTTTATCCTTCAAACTGGTATTTTGGCAACATAACTTGGTAGCCAAACAAGAAATTTCTGGGACTTTTTGACTAGAGGATACATCCTCCAGCATCTGATATACAATATCAGAGCTTCTTCGTTCTTCCAGGAGTGATATTTTGGCTCTTGTCCTTCTCTTCCCCAGGCACTGGAAAATGAACTGAAGAAACCTGAAGCTTCCATCCAGGAAACAACACAAAAATTTGGCAACACTGTGTGCAAACTCTCTGAAAGTGAAATTAGAGATGGTCATCTATCAGGTATTGCAGAGAACAGTAATTTTTCATCTCTGCCTCTGTGCAGCAGACATGTTAACATTTTTTATTACAATCTTTTCACAGGAAGAACTCAAAATTCTCAATCTTGTTTATGCTTTGCTGTTGGATGAAGAGTTGGATACTAGAGAAGCTGGACCTCGTAATTTCCTTATGAAAAAGGAGAAAGAAAAAGTAAGTTATCATTTGGAATGCTGTTCTTAGGAAAAGTGTAGTATTTACAATACATTTTTTGTGAAGACTGCTTTTTCCAAATCAAATTTTGCCATAAATTATTTTCTGACAATTTACAGAGTCACTGTTTTTTTTCCATTTGTACAAGTGATATATATTATAAATACATGTGTTTTTTTAATAGGTACTCATCTTGGTTCATCTGAGTACTTTGGTAAAACTGCATACACTCAGAAAGGCATGTTGCTATTTGTTTGCAATGTATAATATTTTTAGTATCCAGTATCAAGCTGGAAGAACCAATTATGGTGCTTTTATGAAAGGAAGATGCACAAAAGAATATGTAATGCCACAATATTTTTCACTGAGTTATTTTATGTAGGCCAGTGTTTTACTTGTGTTTTTCAGTTCAAAGCAAAGACAGAGGTGTTGTGTCTTCTGACCACAGAAGAAGAGCACACCACAGAGTACAAAGTGTTTGTAGTATTATTGACCAATTTAGTCTCCTGAAGAGTTTACTCACCCCTGTCAAAACACATACAAGTCAACAAAGCACAAGTAACAGATCTGGGTTTCAATACAAGTGCTTACTGTTCACAGTAATAATTTTGAGTGGCAGTTCCAATTCCTGTGTCCTGCCAATACTTGTGTAACTCAGGTGACCTAAGTGGTGGCAGTCTGCAGGTTGATTCTGGCTCTTGGGACAATGTTATCCCCTTTGCCCACATTTTTTTCATGGAGCTGCTCCTGAGTCCACAGATAATATACTAATGCTCCTCATGTCAGATCTTCTACTCGACCTGTACAGACCTCTGTGTTGGGTGCTGCTAGTGCCCATTTGTATGTAAGCTACAGGGAAAGATTCCAAAGTAGGCATCTCGCCCCTACCACTGAATTGGCTGAACTAGTTTTAAAATTATCTGAGGCCAAGTGTATCCCTGCTTACATTTTTCAAAATATATCTTCTTTTTTATTTTTTTTTTAATTTTCTAAATGTTTCCATTAGTATATCTTTTGGTCCATGCAAACTGCCAAATACAACAAAACAGCCCACTAGAGTATAAGCATTTAACAGCCTCATTAATACAGATGAGCCCAGTATCCTAACACATGGCAGAACTATGTAATGACAACAGGCACTCTAAAATTAAGGACCCTCCACTAAACAGCATTTGAGAATTTTTGACTGGTCTTACTTGTGATGATATGAAAGGAAAAGGAAATAGGAAAACTCTAAGCAAATGAAAACAAGTGTCAATATAGCTCCTTACTTTCAAAGTTTAAACAGAACACTTGTAAGTATTTGTGTAAGATATTTCTTATACAGATTTCTTTCTTAAGCAGTGCACTAGTTTAATTTCTCACCTTCTCACCTTTTAGGAGTATCTACAAGTAACCCCCTGAAGAAGGCATTATATTGTTAGTAAAAATAGTTCACAAGGTTTTCTGTAGAAATAAGAAAGCGTCACGTCATTTGTGTATATGAATGGCCATTCAGTGCTTCTGCTGGCTGAGATTCATTCCTGAAATCTTCTGGTTTTGCTATAGGTCAAGACTGCAAGATTAATCCAGACTACAAAAGATAAAATTGAACGTTACACAGACACCTATGAAAATGCAAAAGCTGAAGAGAAGGTGAGGCTCTTTACAAACACAAAGAAATTCAGAAATTAAAAAGTCAATGCTGTGTCTTGATAATGAGAAGAACATACCTCACTGTAAGCATGGGATGAGTTCTGGTCAACCTGCTGATCACTGAAATTAAGCAGCAAAGAAGAGTATGCACATAGAAGAATTTATTAAATTGCCAGATTCCTGTGATGCTTATAAGCACTTGGAAGTGCACCATGTTCTATGTTTCTATTATATGGGCAGGTTGATGCTTTTTTAAAAATAACATTGTGGTAACAAGGAAGCTTTCTGTTTTTCTCCTAGGATCTGGAATGTGGTTTTGAAAAGGAGTTTGCCAACGTACCTGTCAATCTCCTTGAGAAACTTTTCCAACTTTATGAACATCGACCAAAGTAAGATCCTCTCTGATTCCATCTGTTTAAATACTAGTATTTATTGTGTGTGGAGAATAACAATGCTATTTGTTTCAATAGTCTAAATTATTTTGGTAATCAGTAGATTGCCTGCTTTTTACTGGACAGTTAACAATGGTTGATTTCCTGTTACACTAGGAATTGCTATTTTGAGTACTTATATTTCCTAACTGACTCCACACAATCCATTTTAAATGCAATCTAAAATGCATCAGTTCACAAAAACATCTCTTTGTATTTTGTGTAAGATGCTGTCTTACCTATTTCCTCCTTGCAAGAGATTGAGAGTAGGAAATGTCCTTAGTTGTTTGTAAGCTTCTTTTATGCAAGAGAAAATAAAAAGTGAATGCTGTATGTACTGTGTATGTGCATTAGGACCCCAGTGACAGAAATGCTCCTGGACACCGCCAACCCATATGGGAATTGTGCAGGCTCAGCTGAAGATTACAAAGATGCACTTACCCTTTTAATGAAAGCCATGGATGAACTGGATAGTCCTGAGTACATGCCTAATGGCTTGGACCCATCTATATGGAGGCATTTTTGTCTAGCTAGACGAAATAAAATGGAGATTGAGGAGCTGGTATGTAAAATTCTGTATTTTGACAGTATACTTCTTGATATTTTCAGGTTTTAAACTTTCATGAATTTCAAATGTAGGGTCAAGCTAGTGGTGAAATTACAGTGCAGCATACATAAACTGCATTTGAGTTGGAAAACTGCTTCTGACTACGTTAAATTCTGAATAATAGAAATGTAAGCAAGGGAAACCAGCTCTGATTCTCCTTCAGAGAAAAGAATGACATATTAATGTGGATTAATTTGATCGGAATGATTATGACATTTATATGGTTTCATTAAAAAAAAATCATTTGCCTTTTCTCCATCCATACAAAAAAACTATTAAGGTATTTGATTTCCATAATTTGTTGGAGTCATTCTCTCCCATTACCATTCTACTTTTGCACCAATGCATTCCCATACTTTTCTAGAACACCAAGAGCAATTCTTAAGAAAGGGTGTTTCTGGAAAGTTCTAGCAAGCTATTTGTTCAGTTTAAAAGCATGAAGGTGTAAATCTGAATTATCCAGAGACAGAGATACATGACCTCTGACCATGAGAGAAGGAAATGTGATTTCCCTTCATGTGAATAAACTGTGCATAAATGAATAAATTATTTCCTAAGCAGAGTGTAAAGATTGTAACCTTTATGTCTCTTGTGCTCTACTGGGATTCTCAAAATACCAGGCTGCATATTTATACATACACATAGTATATACATACTTCTTAAGAACTTGTCTTCTCTGTTCTTGAAGAGGCTTGCCTTGACATACTGATGAAGTTGAAAAGTTCAGAATGTCATGATATTGCTTGCTTAGGTGAAATGGAAAGCCTGAAAACTGGCAGAGATGGAGGCCTTTTATCAGAGAAGAATGGATGACAATGAGAACATTCAGTCAGAAATAGAAGACATCTTCAAAGAACTCACTTGGTAATTTTGTTTCTTTTCCTATGTTCAGCTGCATTTTGATACTCCACCAACACAGAACTCAAAGTTACATACAGAATTATGTAGCTGTGTTCTCCAACACTCTTTTATCTATGAGTCATCTGATAGACCTGTGATATTTCTGAAATGAGCTGCTGCAACACATGCGAGCAGGCCAAACCAGTCTTAATCTACTATCTTAAGTAACAACAACGGTAAGGATGACAGCAGGGTCTTCGATGCAAACAGACCACCCCAAAAGCTACATCATACAGTGAATCCCCCAAAGCCTTCAAGACCATATCTGTGCTAGCTGGCTCAGTTAATTTTTGCTCATGTAGGCCTAAGATACAATGATCACTCCTAATCGCAATATGCTGCTTATGTGACACCTGATTTCACTGAGCTGCTTGGGCCTGCAATACTTCATTTTTTCATGTGCATGACATAATTTTCACTCCTTGTAATTCAGGAATAAACCCCAGGATAAATTCTACAGGAAAACGGGTGCAGGCTGGGAGTCTTCTTCATTTCCTTTTCAGTTGTTAAGATTTCTATTCAGTAAGAACACTTTCTCTCAGAACATCTACAGGAGTATGTCAAACTGAATCCAGTGGTTGGAAACTTCATGCATGGATGTAAGTTGCAAATTCTGCTGTCACTCTGGGAGCAAATAGAAGACAGGCTATCAAAGAGTAACCCCTACAGGAACATATCACTTACCAGTAATAAATATAAACATTTTGAGAATCATGGGGGATTTATATAATCCTGTTGAAATCACTAAACATTGGTTTTGTTTTCTGACATTTTAGGCTGCAGGAGGAGAAGATGAAACTTCAACTGAATTTGCCTATCCAGTTTTTGCTAAAACAAGGACAGGTGGAATTGGAAAGCACTGAGATCCCAGACTACACTGATGCCATTCTCATTAAGAAGAGTGTTGTTGAAGAACTGAATTGCTCTATCACAGTAATTTACATTATCTGAAGGAAATTAAGGCTTTTTGAACAAATGTATTGTCCTTCAGGGCCTCTGCTTTTTTTCCAGTTTGACATCTAGTTTCAATTCATCTAGTTTCAATCTAACGGCTATTAAGAATTCTGTAATGTCCCTTATCATGGATGTAAACATTGCAATACAGACTGCTTTCTTGATGTCCGAGCAAAACAATTTAGATCAATGAAATGGCAACAGTTTTTTGACACACCATCACTTACACACACTCTGTAAATAGAAAATGCTAATAACCTGGGCACCAGTCCGAAAATTCCCTCAAGGAAAATTTATATTTGTGTTACAAAGCATTTGAAGAGTAGCTTACATTAAGATTTAAAATATTAGTACAGTTTTTTCTGTAAGGTGAAATTGGTGATCATACTTAAAACAGTTTTTCGTACTCTCATTAAACGTTTCCTTTTTTTAGGCATACTAGCTGTACAAAAATGGCTTGTTACTGCTACTGCACAAAGCCTTCAGTAACTACTGCAGAATACCTAATACAGAGGAAGTTTGTGTTTTGTAGAGTAAAAACACCTTTGCATTCTTATAAAATATATAAAGACAGAGAGAGGTTAGTTGTAATTTTCTTCATGTCCTACGATCCAAGGCTGTGGCACAGAGCATAAAAGGGAACAAAATTCCACAAAAGAGAACCATCTGGAGCATAGTCTGGAAAGAGACTGCAGTGTAGCATGTTTTCCTTAGCAAAATTGTAACTTTGGAAGCTTGCCCATCTTGTTGCAAATATTTATTCCATAATCTGTGAAGTGAGTTAATTAAGATTGATCTATTTTTTCAGGTTCAAGGAGAAAAAAAAATTGCTAGCATGATAGAATGTAAAGACTTCTCTAAAGGGATATTTAAGCTGGAATGGGAACACAAGAAAATGAGAATGCAGATAGAAGATCTGAAACAGAAGGCTCGAGATATTGTAACACTACCTATTACAAAAGAATGTCAGTTAGTGAGTTACTTTCTCTGACCTATATTTTAACTGCTGAAATTTTTTCTGCCTGTATCTGTAAGATCATTTATACCTCTTAAGTCTCACTACTATGGAGAAACCTGATGCCTAATAGTTCAACAATTCAGCTTTCAAAGGGAAGTTTTACTCTTGAGATTGATCAGTGATGAAGTTCTTTGAGATATTCAGGTGTAAACAAAGGCAAAATTAGCCCTAACTATTAGTGTTTCAAAATTGGCACCAAGAGTAAGGAATGAGGATTTTCCAGCCACAAGGAAGAGATCTTTAAAATAAAGCACAATAACCTAACTTCCTTTTAAGTGAAAGGTCTGAGGGACCCCCATCTGGTAGCTCACAGAAATATCATAACTTTTGCTCAGTGCACAAAGATTGGGCATTCCTACAAGAGCCTCATGGAGTCCCCACTCACTGCCAGTTGTTGGCCCAGCAGCAGAACCACAGGGAATTGTTTGCCGTGCCTGGCAGTCAAGAGCCAGCAGCTGGCTAGCAAGTCAGCACCCACATAGCTTTGAAGAAGCCCAGCTGGCAGGCCAGAAAACATAGGTAAAGGCTGTGGCAGAGAGCCAAGGATACCAGTGGGAGAAGAGAGGGGGAAGAAGAGAGGTCGTAGGGGAAGCCTAAGGGTATTGCAGTGTGGGATGTAGAGGATTGCAGGGAAAGCTGATGGTTTTGTGACAATGAGGTGGGGGCATAAAGGTTTGGTGTAAGGGATGTTGAAGGATGGGTAGACTGGAGATATTGCAGTAGAGAGAGCTATAAAGCACAGAGAAAATGAAGAATGTGGGAGAGCAGGTGAGGATATTGCAATTCAATCAAAAGATTAAAAGAAAATCCTTAACACATGTTTTGCTCAGGCTTAATTTCTTTTGCTGCTCTCCCAGCTGCTTGTTCAATTCTGAATCACAGGCGAGGGACTTCTATAACTAACACCAACAGAACTGTTTTCCAAAGAGGTGATGTGACAACACACTGAAAAGTTCTTGTAGTAAATTTATCACCAGTGTGTTGCTGTTAGCTCAAACTTCATTTAAACTGATGAACAGAGCTATTGCCCTTTGGAGAGAGTTAGAATTAGCCATAGCAAAGTCATATACCAGTTTAATAACAATCTGAATGCTCTGAGGGGCTTGACTTCACTTTTTGAGTAGAAATGTAGGGTTAGCAGGAAAAACAAGGCAGCAGGGACCCCAACAATAGGAACAGAAAGAAAGATGGCTTGAATAAATGTGTGCGGGCAAGGACCTGAACACCTGGAATGAGGGCTATTTGTGAAGCAGGGAATGAAAGAAGTTTGGTGCTGTAGGCAAGAAGCCTGCTGGGTCTTTCCTGTTTCTCCTAACTAGAGCAGTCCACAAAATTTTACCTGTCACTTTGGTGGGACAGTGCTCTGGAAGGATGAATCTACATCTACAGAAACCTGTCTGCTGCCCATTATGGATCATACAGCCTGTTTTACCATTTGCCATTTGATGAAGAGATATTCTAGTGCCAGTGTGCCTAAGAAACAATCTTTAATAAATTCCGTGAAACCTAAATTACTATGCAGATAGAAGATCAATAAAAGGAGTAAGAATTACCAGAAAGCCATGTGAGAGAAAATAATTTTTTTTTTCTCTGGCCTAAAGACAGACTGCATAGCACTTTGACCTGGGGCTGTGTTAGCTTAGACTACCATATAAAAAAAAGTATAGCTTGGGGTTTTTTACTTCATAATAGATTTGCTTGGTCTTTGTTTCCATTAATACATCATAGATAACATTCTTTTTAATAGCTGCAGAGTTCACACAGCATCCAAGAATATCTTTACCATGTCCGCTTATGATCACTAGAAAGCCTTTCTACTGTGCAGAATTCTAGTTTTCTGAGTTTCACATAGCATGACTGTCTTTACAGAAGTGTGGAGTTGTTGAGGACAAGCGGGCTTTATAGAGTGGTTTCTTTGGTTTTAATTCTTCAGTTTCTAACTGTGCTGGACCATGACAGCCGCGTTGCCCACCGCATTTCAATGATGGAGCAGACTCTTGGCGTCATGGATAAGGTAAAACCTAAATGAACCACCACATTTGAGAGACATCTCTGTAGTTCAAATGTAACTCCTCTTCTTCATTAACAAGAGGTGTTTGTAAGCAATAACACCAACTGATGTAGACATACTAAATCTTCAGCAAATTCAAGGACTGTTGGTGCATAGCCACGACAGTGCACACAGATGGATATATAAAGCCATTCATCTGGCTTTTAATAGTTTCTTCAAGTTGCGTTGAGCTGTCTACAGCAGCCGTTCTCTGAAGTTTTTGGAAGCAGCTATCATACACTGATTGCAGCAGAGATCAACCCTATGTAGAGAAATCTATTTGCTCTGTTACTGGAATGCTTTCCTTCCTGAACATCTGAATGCAGCTCTGCTTATCACTTCTTACAGAGCATTACCTGTAAAAGTCACTCTTCCATTTCCAATACAGCATTCTTCCAGTCTTCACTGCTTAATGTTTCTCTCCAGGAGCACCAGCCTGTTCATGTCACTCCCCCTGCCCATATTCAAAATACCACAGCCACAACAATCTGATTTTCTGGCTTCCTCACCTATTTCAACGTTCAAATTATTATTACCCTTGTTGTTAAGCGATTCCACTGGATTTTCTCCTGATTGTTCTAGCTGGCATCACCCTCCTCTTTCTCTTCAATCTTCAGTATTTATCTTGTCCCTTTGCAGCCCATCTGACAGCTTCAGCACAACAACCCTTTCTTCAGCAGCTCCTTGCAGCCAAGGCAGTGTTCTCAACCCACCAATTCATTGACTTCCTTTCCTCCCTTTGCCTTTCAAGTTTTATTTTAATATATCTCTATCTCTGACCCATACCTCTTTGTTCCTTGTCTACCACTTACATTAGAACTCCATAAAGCATACTGGAATAGTCTGTGTGAAAGATACTATACAATGTAAAGCTAGAATGTGCTACTAGTGAAATTAAAATACATGAAAGTTTATCGAGGTACAATGCAGTGCTTAAGATTATAGGCTTCCATCAAAAGTTTGTCTGAACAGCTTTTGCATAAATCATTTATTTTCTTTATTCATTTGGAAATGGACAGTGGCACAAGAAGAATGTGAAGAACCATCAGAAAATAATTAAAGAGTTGGAGAAGTGCATCAGTTTAATAGAGCAAACAAACTACGAGCTCAGCCTGGAGCTGAAAGAAATGCTTGTATCTGTTTCAGAAAGGAGGCATATCTCTGCGGGAGCCGGTGAGTCACAGCAACGCGCTTTAAAAGAGAAATGCACTTTTATCACAAGAGAAAAAAACATTAAGAAAACATCTCCAAGGCTAGATGGCCCTGTTCTCCATCAGCATCAGCAAGGGGCAAGAACGCCTGTTTGTTACTGTATGTGCACAATTAGCACTGCCCTTCCTACCACAACAATTTAACATCATTTACTTAAGAGCATACCCAGGGAGTGTTGCTCTTATAACAAAAGTTAATTGACTAAATGGCTGAAACTATGTAAGTCAAAACATTATATTCATTAATACATAATTAAACAACATGCAAACTGTTCAACCTACTTCTTTCCACTCAGTCCAGAGAACAGAAGTAGTAACATGAAGCTGAGAAGGGTATTGGCCATTAGGAAAACTAGAGATCTTCCCACTAGTAAAACAAAGATTTTCAAAACAGTGGGTACTTGCTAGAAACTAAAGGATGCACATCCAGTGCCTTTTTTTGAATTTTTTTTTGCTTTATTCAGTATTATAAAGATTTTTAAGTCCAACTGTGAGACTTTTTAAAAATATTTGCTATTTTATACAGAACTTGGAATAACCCCAGGACAGATCCAATATAAGTATAGACTATGCTTCCCCTACAAGTACAGGCTAACCCTCGTATCTTGTTTTATGCAGACACACAGCACATTTCTGAAAAGATTGCAAGGCAGCCTTACCAAGAGATTTTGAAACAGAAACACCTGCGGCATCTTTTAAAGGAACAGGAAGAACAGTTTGAAACTCTTCAGGCAGAAGTTGAAAGACTGATATCAAGAACATTCCCTATTCTTTAAAAAACAGGGTCCAGGTAGATGTACAATACCACAGTCTTGTGTAAGAAAAAGAGCTTGGGCATCTACCTTTTTTCCCCTGAACTTTTATTTTCACAAAGAATTTCTTCTGTAATTTCTTTAAAAAATAAATTCAGTTTGAAAGATACAAAACAGAAAAACATGTACATTTTATACCTAATATTATCCCCTTTATATTCCGGTTCATGAGATGTATTTCTGCCCTTTTTTTATGCCTAATAACAATATAGGTCATTATAGAAAACAATGGGTACCAGAAGAACAGGTTTACTTGTATATCCTTAGTCTGCAATATGCAATAATGGAACATTTTGAAGGTGAAGTACTGCAAGAAATCCATGAACCATCCAGGAAGATGAAGTTGTGCTACTTGGCCCAGTCCTGAAAGTTTATACTTATGATAGCATAATTAACCACAGCCACCAGTAGCTGTGGCTGCTGCTACTGGCAGAATCACAGGAAACCCAGATTTGGAAGCATCAGGCCTCCTGAAATAGGAGGCTGCTCTCTCCCACTCCTTTGCATTGATATGCTATCTATTCTCCTGCCAGATCTCTCCAAGACAGCTAAGAAAGATAAAGAACTCTCGGTAAAATTAACCACTGGTACAGACTGAGCTACCTACTCAGCCATTCTCATTGATTTTTATTTCCCTCTTCCATGGTGTGTTATTCTCCTCCTTTCATAAATTCACATAAAATCTAAATTCATTCCATTATGAGAGCATTAATAGCTTTGCTGCTCCCTTAGTTTAACAAAATTTTACACTTGTAAAGAATACTACTTCTGTTGTGATCTTGTCCATCACCTCCTTTTTCACTTTAACACCTCTAACTGGGGTTTGTAAAGATTCTAATTACTTCTCCATTCTTGCAAGACTTTTTTTCTTCCTGTTGAAAGTTCCCTAGAAGTAACAGAGTTCCAAATTTGCCAAGGGCCTCAAGGAAGAGAACTGCTCCCTTCCCCAGGCATAAGAAATAGTGTCTTGGTACGCAAAACGTGATTAGCAATAAAGGTTGCTCTTCGTTAATTCTCTGTGAACAGCAACATTCAGTATGCTTAAGAGCAAGCTGCAGGTGCAGATTTAAGCCTAATGAGCCCTATCAATATTAAAAGGATCTGTATGATCTTTGATTTTCTTTCCCTTGAGATATGTAAGAAATTACTCCCTTATTAAGGAAACAGAAAATGCCACCTGTAAACAAAACAGTTAAGGTACAATCAGTAGGGAAGGTGATTGCATATAAAACAATATTCATAGCAGGAAGAGCTGTAGTTAAGATTTATGTACTGTTACACTTGGTGGCCAATGATTTTAAGGAGAATAAAGGCTGACAGAAGTCACCACACTATACATAGGCCATCACAAGAAAAAAAAGCCATTTCAAGTTAAGTTTAAAGATAACATTTTTAAAAGACAACATTTATTGGAGGATAAATGAAATACTGAAGTTGTGTTCAGCTTCATCATGCTGTAGTTGAAGCACTCTCATTAGACAAGGCCTTGTTTTTCTTATTTATTTGAAGAGAGAAAACACCTTGGCTCTCACATGAAGTAGTAGAGTAGACAGATGTTGGTTGCAATTTTCTTCCCTTTTAATATCTCAGGCTGTGGCAGAATGCTTAAGAGACAGCTTCCCTGAAGAAAACTGTCTGGACCAGTATCTGAAGTGATTGCATTATGGCACATTTCCCTCCATAATACTAAAGCTATTGAGAGCATCTTATTGCAGCTTCAGAATATTAACACCATGGAAATTAGTTATCTTTACTTAAGTCACAAAATGCTGCCATTAACTGACTGGCAGCAGAAAGATATTTGTAAAGTGGGGATGTATCTATGAACAAAGAACTGAACTCTTCCCCATCTGAACATCAACAAAAATTACAATTAATTTGAGCTCATTATTTCAAGACAAGTAACCATGAAAAAACTAGTCAAAGAACGGCCTGCCTGCCTTCTCCTTGTTAGAGTATGACTTGATTTAATTTTATTAAATAACTATTCACCAATCAAGCTATGGAGACAGGTTTTTCCAAAACAAAACAAGTTCAGTCTTTTCCATTAAGTAATGCCTTTTACAACTCCTACTGTATCTAAATACATAACTTTACAAATATCTCCTGACCTCAAAGCATAAAGTCCACTTTAACAACACTTCTCATGACCAGAATTCATCCAGTCTTTTCTGCTTATACATGTGTGTAATTGAAAGCTTTGCAACTTATTATGCATCTACAAAATCTTCTTCTGTTCTGCTGTAGTGCAATAACTGGTCTTCTATTCCAAAAGTGTCTATGAGCTGACTGAGGCTCACTTTCTTGCCATCTGCAGAAAAGGCTGACTGTAGTTCATACAGCATCAGCTGAGTACTGCTTCTCCATTTCACTATCAAAGCCTGCAGTTCAGACAGGTTGTTCTGAAATTGGGACAAAACAAACAAACAAAAATTGTCATTTGCTGAAATGTGGGGGTTTTTGATACCCTGCAGATCTATTTTTATAAAACACCTTAAACCTGAGACAATACACAAACACCACCCACACAAAAAAGCCAGAACTGTTGCTTAAATCAATAAATAAGGATTACACTGTGAATTCTGCTTCAAAGAATGGCTTAAAAGTACTTTTTCAGAGGTTCACCTCACCTTAGATCGGTACCTCTTAACCAGTTTGAGTCTTCGAAGTAGTTCTTCCTTCTCTTGCACTTGTTTTACCAGCCTTACTTTTTCTTCCAGGAACTGCTGCTGACTCAGATCAGCCTGTTGCACATGAGAATTCTCTGCTGATCCACAGAGATCATTTTCCTGTAAGGGACTTTTGAAACATGTTTGTCCAGTGCCATTTCTTTCCAGGTTTTCAGAACCATCTTGTAATCTGGAACAATCTGTACTTGTCTTTGGCAGGCACCCTTTGTCAGCATCAACACGTTCTTTTTCTTCAATGTCTATTCTGAGCTGCTTTGCCACTGTAAAATTAGCATTAAATGAACGTCTTGTCTTCCTCAATCGCTCCCTCAGAGCTGCACTCATTGGCTAAAAAAGTAAGCAAAACAAGCAAAAAAAATGATCAACAAAAAACCCAGGACCAGAATGCTCTAATCTTTTGATCAAATTTCAAAGAACTGCTTACCTTAGTTACTATTTACATAGAATGTCATATATGTAAAGATCATTGTAATGTAAAGATCATTGTAAAGCCAGACTTCCAAATTCTCTCTATAGCTTTCACAAACTTGAACAAAGTTAACTTCTTCCTTTCATATGTTTGTACACACAGCTGCAAAATAATGAAAGGTGTATCTCCACATCTTTTAGGAGCAAATCTTGTATTCCCTTGAGGCAAACCTACTCAGCTAGTCTGTGTGCAGAAGTTATATGGCATATTTCCACTTGGCTGATTTTATTTCATCATCTTCACCTGGAGATAAGGGATGGGGGTTTTTTTTGCTGTTTACAGAATCACAGAACATTAGGGATTGGAAGGGACCTCAAAAGATCATCCAGTCCAATCCCCCTGCCGGAGCAGGAACACCTAGATGAGGTTGCACAGGAAGGCGTCCAGGCGGGTTTTGAATGTCTGCAGAGAAGGAGACTCCACAACCTCTCTGGGCAGCCTGGTCCAGTGCTCTGTCACCCTCACTGAGAAGAAGTTTCTTCTCAAATTTAAGTGGAAATTTAAGTTCCACCCCACCACACATACGCTTTCTGTATTAGCACTAGTATAAAACATCTGTATTCTACTTGAGAATATTAGAAGTTATCTGTGTAGTTTTGACTTGTTCATGCTTTGAGATCTTTCACTGTTAAGCATCTAAAAACTGATTATTTTTCTTCAAAAGAAGCTTTTTTTTTTTAATAATCTGTGTCTAACATTTTTACATGTGAAAACATACTGAAATACAGGAGAGAGGGATTAGTTAAGGAACACTTGCAAACTAGCCCTATCCAGCATAGATCTGGATGCTGAGCATGACAGCATCACCTTAACACATGCTGGGATGGACACCAAAGTAGAGCTCAGTGTTGTGGAGAACATACAAACTGAAAGCAGTGTGCTTTGTTCAAGTGCAAGCAGAAGTCACAGAAAGTCATTCTGCATACAGAGCAACCCAAAAAATTAAGATTTGAGAAAACTGAGGATGTCAGATTAAAAACAAAACAAAACATAAAACAACCACCATCACCACCAGAAACCCTAAGTAGTATGTAAATTTATTAGTATGGCATTTGGGTTATACTGCTCCATCACTTTGTATTCAGGAAACTTCTGCATATTCAGAGCAACATATACCAAACACGTTCCTCACCTGGACAAAGCTATAGGTATAAGCTATCTTCAGCTTTCCAGAGAACAGTATCTCAGTGACTTCCAATTACTTGATGATCTCACAAGCATTTTTTTTTACTATGAAAAAAATCAAATTACTGAAAAAACAAGTAAGTTTTCCTACCTGTTTCCCTGAACTAGTCCCCTGTGGAGTTGCTGTCGCAGAATCCTTTGGAGTATTGCACAAAGATGTCAGTTTATCAAACACTGGTTCTTCCATCCTGAGATGAATAGCAGTTTCTGTTGAAAAACAGAATGAATTATGTATGGTGCCATTTTCACCTGATTATAATGAACCATGTGGCTCTGGGAATCAGTGAAAAGCTTTAATAAGAACAATTTCAGTATTTAAGCTCAAAAAGTCTGCTTAAGATACACAAACGTTTCACATGCTAAGTAGCATCTGTGAATTGCTTTTCTTCCGGAGGATAAATGACACTACTGACTGGTATTAAGTATCTTACTACAAATTTTGTATATTATTTATCCCTCACTTATAAAGCTCTGGATTTTTTCTTAAAAAGATGAAAAATATTATAAAAAGTCTTACAGATATTCTCAATTACGTTTTTTTTCTCTGATATCTCTTTCAACTGTTAAAAAGGAGCAGGATAACTTATGAAGCACTTGAACACATTACAGCATGCCTATAA